TTGTGTAGTGATGTGTGTGTTTTGAAGGCACGGCTGTATCTTTTCTTAACATTTTGCCCCTGTGTTGGAGGCGCCAGCCTGGGAATAAAGTGTGTGTGTGTGTGTGTGTGTGTGTGTGTGTGTAAAGTGGTGGTACTGTCAGTGGCTGTGCCCTCCGGGGGGGTTGGGAAGCTGATTACCTGTTTGCAGGTAGCATTGTTGTGCTACAGGCTAAGACGTGGATTTCAAATAACTGCTGAAAGTGAGGAGAAGAAACGTGAGTGGAGCCTGGTTGCCCTGTTTAAGCTTTAGAGCAAGTCGTTCTGATTAGCTTGAGCCAGAGGAGATTTGGGGTTGCTCTGGTGAGTTTCTGTTCTTTTGGATAAGAAGGCCGATTGGTTATCAGTTTCATTCACTGATGAGATATTGATAAAATATTGAAAAGCAAGTCTCCATCTTTAACTCGTGGTTCCTTGCTTTGGCTCTTTAGTGTGTAATTTCATAAGAAGCCTTCTCTCTCTCTCTTTTTTGTCTGTTGCATTCTTTCTGATAAACATGAAAATGCTTTTGTTTCAGAGTGGTTAACACAGCCCCAGGCAGTGTTGCATTTCTGTTGTAGAATTCGTCAGTGATCGTGTTTCTCACTTTATGTAAAGGTGAGTATATACCTTTAGGAAAAAAAGAAAGGTGTTTTCCTGTCAGGAAAAGTAACCATCAAGGAAAGGAACCAAGTGATGGTTATATTGTCTTTTCCTTCCCTCTGCACTGAGCTGTTGTGGTGGATATGCAGTACGCAGGTGACGAGAGGGGCTTGGTTACTGTCCCGCCAGCTCCAGACAGAAGTTTCTCCCTGAAAACTCGCTGCCAGCAGGCAGCACTTCACCCAGATAAGGGAGGCCCTGCAGCAGTGCTTTTATTTTAAAGATTTTTTTTTTTTAAGGTCAAGTCTTTTATTGATTTATTTATTCTTAGCCGCGTTGCGTCTTCGTTGCTGCATGAGGCCTTTCTGTAGTTGCGGCGAGCGGGGGCTACTCTTTGTTGCAGTGCGTGGGCTTCTCATGGCGGTGGCTTCTCCTGTTGTGGAGCACGGGCTGTAGGTGCGCGGGTTTCAGTAGTTGTGGCATGTAGGCTCAGTAGTTGTGGGTCACGGGCTCTAGGTATGCGGGCTTCAGTAGTTGTGGCTCGCGGGCTCAGTAGTTGTGGCTCGCAGGCTCAGTAGTTGTGGCTTGCAGGCTCAGTAGTTGTGGCTCACGGGCTTAGTTGCTCCGCGGCATGTGGGATCTTCCTAGACCAGGGATTGAACCCGTGTCCCCTGCATTGGCAGGCGGATTCTTAACCACTGCGCCACCAGGGACGTCCCAGTGCTTTTATTTTAAATGCTGTTTTATCTTGGGTGATAGGTGTAACCAGCACTAAGGAGAGGAGGAGTCTTTTTTAAGGAAATGTTTGCCTTTATAAAATTACGGCCGTGTTGGCTGCAGCAGCATCAGAATTCCAGCTGGCTACTGATTGCAAGTGTAAAGTTTTGTTTTTCAGAGTTCTGATCAGGTGAGAACAGACAACCATAGCTGGAGGCATCAGACATTGTTGCTGGAAGTTTTGACTCAAATGGGTTTGATTTTTATGTGTGAAGCATTGGAGACCGAGGGAGGACCTGGACTGTGAATGAAAGCTCCTCATCTCAGAAGAGCTGCCGTCCGTGGAGAGGCCGAGAGGAAGTCACCTTAGGAAGGGGCCCAGGCACTGCTGGCGCCTCCACTTTATAGTTGAGGGCATCCGAGCTCACGTGGGTGATGAAGACTCTCTCAGGGGTGCCTGCTCTCCTGTGCCCTGCTGTGCCTCCCCCGGGTGTCCCCCTGCGCCGGGCTGGGCTCCGTGGGGAGTGGGGGCCATGAGGACACCTGCAGCTGAGCACGTGCTGTCCAGGTCTCCAGCCCCTCTGAACCTTCGCTCTCAGTTACTCAGCTGTCCTCTGGTGCCTGCAGCCCGCCACTTGGTGGCTGTGTGATTGTAGCTCATGTGCTTAGCCTCTCTGGACCTCGTTTTTCTTTTTTCCCCTGTGCAGGGGGGCTGATGGTAGTACCTAACCCTTAGTTTGGGGAATTACATGCTGGACCGTCAGTATCCGGCACGTGGTAGACCCTCATATGTATTAGTTAGTTAGTACTGTGTGTTCGTCGGGCGCTCCATGCCCAGGTTTAGGTGCAGGAGCTTGAGTTTAGCAGCCTTCTCAGGTTTGGTAAAGTTCTGTGGACTTATCCACACCAGCCAAAGTTAGCTGAAGGATCGAACAGAACGCTAATGTGTTCATTCCTTAAGGGACCACCCCAGTAACGACTCTACTCACATGTTCTGTGTGATGTCAAGGTCACCAGGCAAACTAATTAATAGTTATTTATTAATACTTATTTAGTGCAAATGAAATCAAATCAAAGGTAGTTTTTTTATTGGCTACTTTATTTAGGCTCGACAGACCTGGAGAATTTTTTCTTTAAAAACATCAATAGAAATATTATTACTTCTCTGTAGACAGCTGTTGCTTGCTGGAGACCTGTGTCTGTAACCTTGGGTGTACTCTATTTAAAAAAAAATCTTTTATCTCAACATTTTATGTAAGATCAGTAGCTGAACCACATTAATAATGGAGGGTTAACATTTGTAGTTTTCTTTGTACCTATAAAGGGTAGTAATCTGTACGTGAGGGACTTTGATGAGGGTGACCAAGGATACGGGGGGCTGTCTCCAGGCTTGCCTCCATCTAGTCATTCTAGATGCTCTCCTTCGTTCTTGCCCAGTTGGGGTGGGCAGCCCCTCTCAGCCACAGATGCTGCCTCTGTTCCTTCAATATCTGGTAGTTGGGAATTACTTGTTGGCCGTTCTCAGAGAAGCTGGTGCTTTCGTGTCTTTCGGGACCTGTAGGTGTATCTAGCTGTTTTATTCTCATCATAAATGATGTATTTAGAACAACCCAGTTATCAAAACGATTGAGTGCTACGGAGGGTAATCTAGAGAGGTGTAAGGGTGGGCCTTCAGAGGAGACTGCTGGGTGCAGCGTAAAGATGATTTCAGGGCGGCGGTGGTGAAAGGAGCGGAATTCTGGGATAAAAATGTGACTCCCATAATAAAAACTTACGTGTATGTAACCAGATTTCCAGACTAAGTGTTGTTTTCTGAAGTGCTGTCTTAGGGGCCTGTGGAGGAGGTTGGTCGGTAGGAAGAGTGAAACCTGGAATGGGGGTCCCTGAGTGGCTTCCCGGGCTGGAGCCAAGGGAGCCATGTGGAGAGCGTTGAGCACCTTGCCTGGCTGGGGCAGATGCGTGCTGAGGAGGCCTTGGCTGTTCCTGGTGTTGACCTGAACCTGCGTACAGATTCTGAGTTGAGGGGCATCTCTCCCATGCATCCTTACTTATGGCCTTTAGGGTTGCCAGACTAACATGGAGATGGAGATATTTATTTTTAAAGGATATCAGCCTAATTTTTTTTGCTGCTTGACCCAGGCCAGACCAAGAAGACTCCTAATTCATCAAGCTTTCTCAGCTCTCACCCCGTAACCGTGGTCCTGCTTCATCCCAGAGTCTGTGGTTCAGTGGTGGTCTTCTGACACACATGCTCACTTACCTGTGTTTCTCCCCGGGGCAGGGGGAACAGGGAGGGCGGGTGGCCCAGTGGGCAGGGTCTGGGCGAGCACAGTAAAAGCTTCGTTGCTAGAAACGTGCCTCATAGTCTCGTTTTTCCGGTTTAACTTTCGAATGGTTACACCATTAACCCCATTCTATCAATAATATTCCATTTGCCTGCCTTTTCTTCAGATAAATACTTCCCAGTTCATAATTTTCAGTGAAGGTTAGGCTACTGGACTGGGACGTGGGCAGAAGCTTGACTGTGATGGTCTCTGAGCTGCAGGAGAAACTTGACGTCTGAGAGCGAAAGCCGCTGCGAGGAAGAAAGCGAGGACTGATTTATCCGACTGGGTTTTGACAAGGTTTTGGATGGATTCTGGATACATTTGGAGGTGGAGAGACTCCATGTGTCAGACGTGGCGGGGAGAGAAAGGCGGCCGTTGAAGAGCAGCCCGGCCGAGGCTTTTTGCTGCAGGAGGCTGAGCACAGAACCTCGGGGTCGGGTCACAAGTGCTCCTCAGGAGTTGGCGGGGAGCTGTGCTTTGTTCTGTGTTCATGGGAGTAATGGGGTGCACGGGAACCCTGGACCTCACTCGCTTACATCCCCAGATAAAGTGTAACCTGCCAAACAAACACGGATTCTCTTTGATGCGATGGTTCCCAGTCTGTGGGATGTGAACTGCTGAGTCTTATTTTTACAGTGATAGCAAAGGGCCTGAATAACCATCTCGTAATTGATTGGAAAGAAAAAAAAAAAGGCAGCCATGGGAAGGAGACTTCCACAGTCGCATGGGCTTCAGCCTGCTTGAAGTAGTCTTTGGTTGACATTCTGTCGAATTTTTCTCTAGAAGTAAGGTTTTAAGAAAAATCTAAATTGTGTCTGTTGATTTGGGGCAAGTAGTTCATAGTGAAAATCACTTACAATTACATTCCGCTAACGTTGAGTTTCCATTTCTTCACATTCATGGTAGGATTGGGGTTAACATCTCCCCTCTGCTTTTAGAACAGTCTCTTCATTTAGGCTTTGTAATCTCGGGATGGGCTGGCACCTCGGGCAGATAGGCGTATGGACTTCAAAGTTCAGTGGATCTGGGTTTAATTCTGGATTTGCTGCATAACCAACTGCTTGAGCAAGATACTCAAACTCTGTGAGTTTTAAAGACCAAATCTTGAGAATTGGGTTTGGTCATAGTATCTGCTTCACTGGGTTGTTATAAAGACGTGATAAAACGATGCCTGTCCAGGTGTGCCTGGCATTTGCTGACGGCTCTGACGTCAGGTGCTCTACAGCCGTTACCTTATACTTGAGACACGTAAGAAGGAGATAGATTGTAAATAACTTGTCCCAAGTCACATAATTAAATTTGAAGACATCATTTTAGGATGTTGTTTTTCCAAAAATGTATCATTTGTTTTCCTTTTAGGATTTGGAGTTCCATGGAGTGATGAGATTTTATTTTCAAGATAAAGCTGCTGGGAACTTTGCAACAAAATGTATCCGGGTCTCTAGTACCGCCACCACTCAGGACGTGCTGGAAACGCTCGCTGAGAAATTCCGCCCTGACATGCGGATGTTGTCATCACCCAAGTACTCCCTGTACGAAGTGCATGTCAGCGGAGGTCAGTGGACACAGATGGGGCTTGGGGGCCCTGCTTTACTGCTGACCCCCTCTTTCTTATTCTGGAGGGGCCGGGGAAGCAGTTAACGGGTTGGCAAAACTCGAGTATGTCTGCGAAATGTCCTCATAAGTTCCTAGTAGGTGCATTTATTTGTTGGGAGTTAGAATGAATAGATTAGTTTTACGTGTGCTCACTTCTCCAAAGATAAGTAGCATAGCGTTTCATAATTGAAATTCTCCAGCAGGTCTGTCACATACATTCATGGTACAGTAGGCTGCTTAATTTTGGAGAAGTATTTCATGTAACTCTTCTGCATAGGTTATAATATTACAATTAACGATAACCCAGTGTTTTATGAGTACAGTATTTTATGAGTAAAACCCAGTGTTTTATCATGCTTGCTGTAATACTTTTGTAATGTGAAACAGTAACGTTCTTTTTTTTTTTAGTAACGTTCTTTGGGAACAATTAGGACATCTTGAGGAAACTCTCTTATGTAGTTAGTAGTTTCTCCTTGTTTTAAGATTTGAAATTTCTGAAAGTATCCTATATATCACATGGCAATTGAAGTTGAACTGATTAGAAATGTAGAAATTTATAAAATTTTTTATGAATGCTTTTGAAGTACTGAGTCACCTGTTTAAAAAAAATAACAAATTCCAGTTAATGCAGTAAACAAAGGATTGTATATAGTACAAGCCCAATTTGAATACCTGTTTAAGTTTCAGCCACAAAACCTGTTGGAACATAATTTATTTTTCTTATCTTCAAAAGTACAGCTTTCTTTGTACATTTGAAATTGGGCTGAAATTTTTGTAGTGTGTGGAATTCAGGTGTCACCAAATGCTACCAGTATTATGTTAGGTAGGCTGTACTTGTTTATCACTCGTTTAAGGTTACTAGGGTATCACCTACATAAATAATACCCAAACTGAATTTGACAATAGTGGATGGTCTCAATTTTGGACGTTTTTTTGAGGTTGAATTCTCCTTTTACCTCAGAATCTTTTTAAATAGGTTACAAAGAGGAAGAAAGTATTTCTCACTTTCAGCCCTCTTCTCGCTGCACCATTGGGTCATTTGAATGCTGCCAAGTGAGGTCTTTGAAATGCTATCTAAGATTGGGATTTGAGATCTAAAAATGGAATGGGTTTGATTTTTTTTAAAGAACATTTTTTCTTTAAACTTTCTTTGCTAGATTTGTTTTTAATTAAAAAGTAAAATATGTTACTTGTAAGGGATGAAAACACAAGGAAGGTGTGTAAAGAAGGAAGTGTTCACCATCTTCCCCCGCCCCTGCAGTGACCACTAGGCTGGCCTGGCCGTGTCCTCCTGCACCTTCATACCCCGCCAGCGTCTCAGAGAGGAGCAGACCCTGGCGTGCAGGTTCTCAATCTCTTTCGGGTCACGGAGCCCTTAGTGTGTCAGTAATTGTTTTAGTGGCATCTCTAGGCCAAAGGAAATACCTAACAGTTCATTTTACTGCATAGATTCAGACGCGTTCATCAGGATTTATGCTTTAACAGCTTGGTGGATGTGTGAAAAAACAGTACAGATCAGATGAAAGGAAAACTGAAAATTTCATCCCGTTCTTAACCACAGTTGCTCCCTGACGGGGCACGTGTGCCTCCTGGGCCCTGCCCAGCTCCTGGGTGGGGGCAGTGCCCTCCTTTCCTGTTCACACTGGTTTGCGGGCAGTGCTTGTTTCTACAGCGCCGTGGAAAGCCCGACGTGACCCTGGTGGGACAGTGCGCAACCTGGTGGGAACCAGCAGCTCCTGCAGCATCCGGCAGGTGCAGCTCGTTTCGCTGGAAATGTAACGTGCTCCTCAGTGAGCCGCTGGACACTGCAGCTGCTGTGTGAACCAGAGCGCTGGCCCAGCACCATGGAAACGCCACTCTCAGCCCTTCTCTGCGTTAGGGTTCCTTGTGTGAAATCAACTGGAAAAGTAAAAAGGATTCTGCCCTTCTAACATAAGGCAGAAGATACCTTAAGTTACAAAGTTGTAGCAGGGCCCTAATTATATTTGCATGCAGTAGTTAGGCACGTATGCTTTAGAACAGCTCACCTTGTTTTTGTTTTATGATTTAGACTTAATTGTTCTTAAGATTGGTTCTCTAAAAAACATGCCATGAGGGATTTTGATCTAGTGAAGATTCTGCAACACGAACAACTTGGTAATTTTGGTTTTGCAGCAGGAATTTGGAACTTCTTGATCCAATATGGGACTTACTACTCTTTTCTCATATTTTCAGTTGATAAAATAATGACTTAGAATTTTTTTCCTGTATTCTGATCGTTAACACTGCTGTTTACCTATAATATTCACTGAAAGCCTCTATAAACTATCTTCTCAGTTTGCCCCGTTGACTTGCTTCCTGTACCAATGTCATTCACCCCCTCTGGTCTCACTGCTTCCTGTCTTTGCTGCCCGTGTTGTGGTGCATCCTGTGTGCGTTTACCTGGGTAATCCTTGCCAGCTCTCGGCTTCTAGTAGGTGGTCAGGCTGTGTAGGGCCCTCAGTGGGCTGCCATGAGGCTTGTTAGGTTTCTAGTAAGGGAGGAAGTAGTCACTTAACATAGCACTTCATCGACAGAGAAAAGGCTGGTGCTTCATGGTGGGAGGGGCTGTGCGGGTCGAGGAGTGTGCGTTTTGGAGACGAGAGTCAGAGGTACAGGGGGAGGAGGGAGAGTGAAGACTGATGGCGGTGGTGCCGTTTCTTGACAGCATCTTAACATTAACATGAGAAGAAAAATCCCATGAATCAGTGGAACTTCTGTGTGATATTAACATTATTTCTGTATTTTCCAGTTGTATGTGAGGGAATTTGATTTATAGAAACAAACGTACGGCAAAGCCCTGCTTATAATTTTTTCTAGTCCATGTGTATTTCTCTTATTTTCTGGGTTAGATTCTAAATGTTGCCAGGAAGCTGTGCCTGGTCCGTGTCTGGCATTGGACACGTGCTAGTACACATTCAGTAGCACCAAAATACTGAATTAGTCATTGAAACTCTAACTTCACAGTGTGAATTACACTTCAGCCTACCAGTAAATAATCAAGGGAATTAGGTGTGTTTGTCTATAAAATGTATCGTGTATCAGAATGTCGCATTGGCTAGTGCCGTTAGATAACCACGGCTTATTTCTTTTTCTTTTCATGTTGTGAAGAAGAAAGAAGATTGGATATAGACGAGAAACCCCTTGTTGTGCAGTTGAATTGGAATAAGGATGATCGAGAGGGCAGATTTGTCCTTAAGAATGAGAACGATGCCATTCCTGCTAAGGTGAGGCCTTGGGTCTCGGCCCGTGCTGTGCCTGGCCTGCGTCTGACCGCGTGTCGTGTCGGAGGGGTTCACTCTCTGTTTCGCTTCTCTTCCTGAACTACCCTTTTACCCCCGTCCTGGAACATAATTTAAAAGTAGCCCAGCTTCTCCCTGCTTCATCCTCTGTTTCACTGAATAATCCAAAATATTACTCCTTCCTTTTCAAAGAAGAGTTATGTAAGCTTTTGTTCCTAAGAGACTTAATGTTCAAATCAGCTTCAGGTTTTTTTCCCTAAATTATAAAGTCAAAATAGGTTTTAATAGGAATCAGAAGGGAAAATAAAACTTTAATAACCTATTCATATGTGAACTTTTAGATACAACTTAATAAGGCATATTTAAGACCTTTTTCATGTTTTATGTGTAAGGTTAGAAATTAGTAAACTTCCTTGAGTTTCTTTGGATGATGAAATAGAGTGAGTCTAAAACTTTCTCAGGTAGTAGGATGTCTGGAATTCCTGTGCTACTGTTCTTTTTATGTGGAATACTATGAAATATTGATACAATTTTAAAACAATTACAATTCTGTTTTAAGTCAAGTGGCCTCTTACACTAGAATTCAGTATTGACAAGTGATAGCAAATGCAGAGGTTAAGAATATTTTGAGAAAAATCTTGTATTTAATTTTGTGCCCCAGCAGACTGGGGGGAAAGTACCATTATTTACTCAGGGCAGCAGTTTTCACATTGTCCGTGTCATGTCCTCTGTGTTCCTGTTCCTGCACTCCAGGGACTTTTATTGCCGTTGCGGCGAACACATGTGATACAAGAACGGATACTTGTGTGTGTGTGTGTGTGTGTGTGTGTGTGTCCATGTTTTATTTTGTTTCTGCACCATGGTTCCAGCTAAAGTACCTTTTCACGGAGCCACAGATCCCGTTTGCTACGTAGTAGAACTCTTCTGGGGTCGGGATGACAGGAGGGTGCTGGGGTAGCTTGCAAGGAAGCGGAGATGCTCGCTCTCAAAGCAGAAGGCGGTTTTCTTTCCCAATAAGATAATCTTTTATTTTTCTTGATTCTTTACCAGCCAACCTATTAAGTCACATAAAAATAATCTGTCTCTGTGTCATCTGCTGGCAGGCCAAGTTATAAATTAAGAATAAGGAAACGAGTAAGATCTGGAAAAGAAATTAGAAGTTTTTGCACAAACACAGTACTTATAACTTTGCTTCATCAAAGCCAGTTTATTAGGGCTCCTCTTAACATTTCTTTTGAAGTTAAAGAAAACATATTTAAAGTAGACGATGATTCAAACACTTAGTTATTTCCATATTTTCATTAGTTTCCTTTTATTTAAGTTACTTCATGTAAATTATTTGGATTTTTATTTGTTAAAAATAATAAATAAGCTGGTGTGATTCCAACCCCAGTTTTCTAACTGGGTTTGGATTTTCTTGTGTGTTTGCTTCCTTGGTTATAGTTTTGAATTAAGATACAATTTACACACGGTGAAATGAGATCTTGAATGTGTATGTTTTGATCAGTACGCTCACGTAACTGTCGGCCCATCAAGACAAAGAACGTTTCTCACCCCAGACCTTCCCCTGCCCCAGTGGCTCTGTTTCTGGCTGCAGCGTATGAGGTGAAGTTAGCCAAGCCATAGATAGCTTTATGTCATTCTGTGTCATAGCCAGTGTAGTGATAATGTTACTTTTATCAGAAGGCTCAAAGTAACGGACCTGAAAAGCAGGAAAAAGAAGGTGTTATCCAGAACTTCAAGAGAACTCTCTCAAAGAAAGAAAAGAAGGAAAAAAAGAAGCGAGAAAAAGAGGCAATGAGGCAGGCGTCTGATCGAGACGATAGACCTTTCCATGGGGATGACACGTAAGTTAATTTTGGAAATATTCCTGTTTCTTTGTGTTCTAAGCCCGGTGTTTTCCGTGTGGCAGACCTCCTTAAATTACCAAGTGAAGGCCGAAGGGTGCGCCTCAGGTAAGTGCGTCGGGGCTCGTGCTGGGTCCTCGGCGTCGAGGGAAGCCGGTGGGGCTCTGACTGAGCTGCACGGGTCGCTCACAGGGCTGGTCTCGCTGTGTGCGCTCTTCTTAAAGATGCGGACTGATGAACAGTGTTGCCGTTCCTGGGTAGACTGGGTGCAGGGTGTTCTTCGTCTCTGCCTGGCCTTTCCTTTCCTTTCTGTTGTTTTGGTCCTTAAGGCAGCAGTGGATTCTTAGACACCTCAGGTCCTCTTAACACCTGATCAGAGGTTGGCAAGACCAGTGAGAAAAGCTGGTGTTCGCTTTTCAGGTTCAAATGCACCGTCAGGTTCACTCCAGCCCCCGCCCACCCCCCTTCCTTATTCTCGCACAGCAGCCCCATCACAGGTGTCTTTGCCTGTCTGAAGGGATTTGAGCTTCTGACCTCGGAGCTGAGGGAATAAGGGAAACCGCTGTGTTTCGTTGTAACAGAAAGGACACGTGAGCAGAAGCTGGCCTTTGCTCGTCGCTTGGAGTCTCCTGGCCTCTGTAGCCTTGCCAGTTTTCAGTTCATGTCATTCTCTTATCGTGGTTTCTCTTAGGCCTCTTCCTTGCCTTAGAGTTGACGGCATAGTGTTCTGTTTACAGCTTATTTTAGAAAGTCAGAGTAGATAGACTTGCCAGAAAGGGAAAAGGAGCTTCTTGTCACGTATGAACCCAAAGAGAGCTGTAGTTTGTTTATGCAGCACAAATATGTGCACTTCATATATCTATGTAGAGAGTTTTTAAACAAGTATAATCAGTCTTTTGAAACCAGAACTTTTCACATGACATTTTTCCACTAAAATTATATGTATTTCACGTAAATACACAGTCAAATATATATATGTTCACAAAAAACATACATATTAAATAATTTAAATGATTGTGCAGTATTCTATCGTATAGTTTTCCCATAATTTATGAAACCAGCCCTTTTCATGTATTTGTGGAGAGTTTACAGGGTTTTTTTGGTATTATAAATGATACTCTGGTGCATATCCTTGTTTTTACAATTTTGAGGACTCATGTGAATATTTCCTAAGGAAATGCTCTGGAAGAATGGCTCAGAGACCCCTTGGGATGCTTGTGTTGCCAGACAGCCCCTGGAAAGGTCTGCACAGCCCACGGGCCCTCTCGTTTCCATACCCTTAGTACTGCTGAGTGTAACAGAGCAGAGTACGGTCTCTGCAGTATGCGAGACCTTCAATAACTCGAGCTTACTGTATCATTAACAAGGTAGATGTCTCTCTGCACGTTTATTAACTGTTGCTATTCTTCTGCTGCTGCGGTGACCTCTTCAAGTCTTTTTTCCATTTTTTGGTTGATTCTAAGTGTTGTGTGTGCCTTGAGGATATTAACCATTTGTCAGTGAAGGGAGTTTACTTTAGAGTGGAATTTGAGCCCATTGTAGAGTGCATCCAAATGGATTTAGATATTAATCTGTTAGGCAGAGATGCCTATGGGATGCACATGAACTTTTGACTATAGTATTACATAGTAAGGCTCTACTTAGTGTATTTATACAAGAGAAAGAACTTGTATACATAGATTGTTCATATATGAAAAATACCAAGGAAAAGGAGAGTTTAGAACTTAGGCTACAGTTTATTCTATTTAGTTAGTTTATGGGGGATAAACTATTTGTGTTAAGGAAATGAGCTACTTAGAATGAGTTAAATTTAACTTATTGATTCGAAGCTTGACTGACTTAATGAAATTATTTTGTGATTTTAAAAATGGCATCCTTAAAGTATATTTATCAAAGTTTAGTCAAGCATATCAATCTTACCTAAATATTTAGTTTTCAACCCATCATTCTATACAGTTGACTCGTTATAGGAACTTACGGAGCAATTTCCTTTTAAAACTTTCGCTTCCAGAGAGTGAATGGTGGTAAATCTCTCAGTTGTTAAACAATCAGGCTGTTTGAGTTCTTCAGGATTACTGTAATTTGAAGACAGATTTTTACTAAAGTATGTTCAATCCTTTATTTCTAGTGGTTGGAATGTTGTATCCCTCATTTAGTCTATTTTAAGATAACCGTGGTAGAAAGAACTGAAATGTATAATTTATACATTCTAGCTTTATTAATGAATACTCAATAATTAAGTTCTGTAAACTCACTATAAAATTTTAATTATAAATTTCTGCTTAGTTCAGTATTTCAGCTGGTATTGAGAGGAAGTGTATTCTCTATCCCTAGTAATTAGCACGTGGTGAATGGTACGCGGCAGAACTGTGTAGGCTAATAACGTCTGCCATTTTGAGTTTTGTATGATTTCAGTATAATTGTTTCTGATATAAAATTTAAAAAATCTTGTTATTGCCTTTTTTTCCTTACAGTGAAAATTCTCGACTGGCTGCTGAGGTTTACAAAGACATGCCTGAAACTAGCTTTACCCGAACGATTTCTAATCCCGAGGTGGTTATGAAACGACGGAGACAACAAAAACTGGAAAAGAGAATGCAGGAATTTCGGAGCTCAGATGGGCGGCCTGATTCAGGTGCAGACTTTGAATTGTTTTTCTGTTATATTTGTTGTAAAGTCTGTTAATTTCATAATCCTTTTTATATATGCATGAGGCCCTGAATAAGTGAAGTTAATGGGCGATGTGGCCTGTTCATAGCAAGCGTGTGCCATGTGTGTCTGGTACAAAGTCAGTTTTGCCTTCAATACGTTTAGTTACGTATTTATCCCCAGTATGGCTTTTTTGTTTTTTAATTCTGGAAAATGTCAAGTATATACAAAAGAATAGAGATATAATGAACTTCCCATGTGTTTATTACCAAGCAACCTTCCATAATTAACACGTTTCATCTCTGCTTCTACATGTATTGCTTTCATTCCCAGACTGTGTTATTTTTGAATCAAATCCCAACTTTCTCATTATCTCATCCATAAATATTTTGATATATTTACCTGAAAGGTAGCAATTCTAAAAAAGCAAAAACAAAAATAAAGGAAACCATAGTACGACTGTCACGTAGAAGAGAATCGACAGTGATTCCTTAAAAATCATCAGCTACCTAGTCACTGTTCAGATTTTCCTGGTGTGCCTCAGTTAATTCCTTTAGTTGAGCCAGGATACAAATAAAACCTAAATGTTGCGCTTGCAATTGGTTAATTTGTCTTTCCTGCCTTTCATTCTAACCCCTCCCCTCTCCTGTATCTTAACCTCTCAGTTTGCTTGTTTGTTGGTTTGTTTTAAAACCCTGGGTTGGATGTCTTGTAGGTCTTGCTGACGGCATCCTGTGCGGTTTTCCTCTTGTTTTCCTGGATTAGATAGAGGTACAGGGTTAGCGTTTTTGGTGGTAGGTGGTGGGACAGGAATATTCACCTTAGTGTCATCCCCAGGTGAGCAGTGGTTTGTAAAATTTTAATAAGCTCATGGATGTAAAGCTTCTCAATGTTTGTCCATCTTTTGCGGTTACTGTCGTCTGATTCTTGAATGGTGGCTTCGAGCCAGCGGGGCTGTCTTCCAGCTGGCACCCGGGTCTGTGACGTGGCCCAGTGATCTCGAGAGCTTCCCTGGAGGATAGGATGTCTGCTCACCTCGTGCTTTCCTGCCCCAGCCCAGGAGTCAGCTCTTCCTCGGAGGAATCCTGTTCCTTTTGCTGGGATAAGTGTCTGGTTGCTAGGAGCGCTCTCTGTTACTGGTTAGTCTTTGCTTCTAAGCCTGTTTGGTGGACAGAGCTTAGGAAATATGTGTTTTTTTACTACTTGGATTTTAGAAAATCTGGGTGTCTTTTCTCTAAAGGTAAAATTCTTCCCTCCTAAGAACAATAGAATAATTATTAACAACATAATTATATTAATCAGGTATAATACCAAAATCAAAATAGGGCTATTATTAATACCAATATGATACTGAAAACATTTTGCTTAAGCCTCTTGTGAAATCTGTGCTGTGTTTGAAATCGCATGCTCGATTCCTGTGTATGTGATTGTGTGCCCACATTGATTTATACTGAGGTTTGTTTTACTTTACTTTTGACTTTGCAGGTTTGCTTCTTTAAAATTTAGTGTTGTTTAACAGTTTCTAAGTCAAATCTGCAAAACAAGGTACGTTTAGAGAAGTCCAGCTTTTTTGTCCCTGTGGACCCCTTGAATCAAAGGCAACATCCTGTACACATGTCCCACCGTGATGTTTCCTGGAGATCACCCTGTATTTCTGAGGGAAATAAAGGTTAAAACGAGAAGTTAAAACACATGACTACTCTGTGAGCTATAAATTGGTTTTGTGTATTTTTAGCTATTTGATATAAAACTTTTATTTGTAATTAACCTGTAATTATACTTAGCAAGTAAAGTGGTTTTGCTTGTTAAAAAATAATAGCATAATCATTTGTTTCAAAAACAATCCTTGTATTAGAAGGCTGTGTCGTTGATCCAGCCTTTCCTAAAAACGTCTGACCTGGTACGTCATCGCCTCTGCGGCTCTGGTGTAGCACTGCGCTCCTGCTAGCTCACGCACGAGTTTTAAGGTCTGAGTGCTGGGACTGGCGGCTTTTCTCTGGAGCCGGGTTTACAGCAGTTTTGGTTGGGAAGGTTGCTTAATTGTGGGCCCATTCTCTCAGCTCCAGGGCTGAGTCAAAGGGTGTTAGTCCCTATCCAGACCCTCCTATTATCCGATATGTTTATGTGGCAGCAGGTGGGATCTGTCAGGGGAAGCTGTGCTCACACTCGCGTCACACCCGTGGGAGCAGCGTTATTCTCTGCTTTATTAGTGGTCTCTCTTACCTTACCTCCATTCACGAGGTAGTCTGTGGACCATGGTTCTGAAATGCATGGTTGCTTGATTCTGCCCACTTGACAGAAACTGCTGGTGACCCCATTTCTGGTGAGCTTGCCCAGAGCTTTGTGTTAGGGTGGCGTGTCATACGGCACCAGCCATGGTGGGAGCCGGCCCTGAGACCTGGTTGTCTCTCCAGCATCACGGGTTTGCTTTGACCCTTAGTGCCTGTATGAACTGAGTCTCAATTATATGTTTCATGGGAATTATAGTATCAGTGATTCAAAAAAACTAGGACACTGAGAGACTTATTAGTTCTATAAATAATTTGATAGATGGCTTTTGAGACCTAAATGATTATCTGCTTGTATATATTCTGTCTTGTTCAATCAGGAATTGAAAAAGACAAGAAAAAGAAAGTAAGGAGAAAGGAGGGAGAAACTACAAAGGTGAGGAAGGAGAAATGTAGTAAAAGTTTTAGGAAGGACGAGAGGAATGCTCAGAGGTACCTGCCACGTGCTGACCACGCTTCCGACCACGGGAAGGAGTCTGGCATCGTTATGGAAGTAACTTCCTCAGTGACCCCTTGAGGAATATTCAAGTATAGGCTCAGGGGTATGTGAGTCAGACTAAGGAGAGCTGGCTTAGAGTGTCCGTTTTTATAAGTAACTTAACAAAATCTTTTTATAAAAAGTATGTCTTTAATGTGGGTCAGGATGTAACATTATATATGTTGTTAAGATAAAGCAGGAAGCTTTTTTTTTCTTTTTTTTTGTGGTACGCGGGCCTCTCACTGTTGTGGCCTCTCCCGTTGCGGAGCACAGGCTCCGGACGCACAGGCTCAGCGGCCATGGCTCACGGGCCCAGCCGCTCCGTGGTATGTGGGATCCTCCCGGACCGGGGCACGAACCCGTGTCCCCTGCATCGGCAGGTGGACTCCCAACCACTGCGCCACCAGGGAAGCCCTAAGCAGGAAGCTTTTTGCAGGTAACTTCAGCCTGTGTCCCCAGAGATCCATGTTTATTTTCCTGTGCCATTGGGGGTCCTTTGATGGAAGTATTTGGTATGATCTGTTAATAAACTGCTGAAAGAGTTTTAAGCTAGGGATTGAGAACGCTTTCAGTTAGCCCAGGCCTCCAATCTGGAGCGGTTACTCTGAGAGCAGAATCTAGGGTTGATTTGAGGGAATTGTGGTCAGAAGCAGGTGTCCCCCTTCAAAGGCTCGTGTGGCCCCGGAAGGACCGAGTCTCTGAGCTCAGTCGGGGACAGTGGTCATGAAGAGAGAAAAGCGGGAGCGATGTTAAGAGAGAATGATCGGGAAGCAGCGCCAGCCTGAGTTTTCTGAGGAGAGGAGGCCCTCCGGATGCCGCCCTGCCTTGAGCAGGATGGATGTGGGTCTGGGTGAAGGAGCATCCGGAGGAGAAGACGGGCTTCGTCTGTGTGTCTTGGGAGGGGCCGGCGTGGTGTGGGGGGTGCCTTTAGGCTGCCAGCTCGGTGGCTGAGTGCTAGTCAGCGGTGCCAGGTGGAGAGAAAGATTCGGGAGCAAGCTGTTCTTGGGATGCAGCATCATGGGCATGGAAGAGATTTGGTGGAGGTAGGAAGTATACCGGTAATACACGGCCATTGTTGAGCAGTAGGCCAAGACAACAGGAACAAAACCCCAGAGAATTAGGAGAAGAAACAGCAAAACACCCACTGGAGTAGAGCTTGTCTGTTACAGGGGTGGTTGGGTGGAAGGAACATTTTTCTGTACAAGCTCCTAGGAAACCCTAAAAAACTGGATACTGTTGGCAGAATAGCTGTTTGTGGTTAATATTAATGCAGTCAAATATAGTAAGTTCAAGTGTTCTGTTGGTTTTTAATAAACAACTTACAAAACGATATCCTTATAACCTACTGAGGCTGTTAGCTTAGCGCTTAGGTTGGTGAAGAATGTTGTCACGGGTGGGTAAGGTTCCCTGAGAGTAACAGCCAAGTCTGTAATTTTCCTGTCTTGTTCGCCCGAGCGTTGGTTCCCCAAGTTCTGATGACGTACTTAAAGAGATCTGACTCACTTCACAGTGGATCAGAAGTCATAACTTGTAACAAGCCTTGGCCCCGGAGCTCATAAAGTATTTTTAACACTCAGACGTATTTACTTTCTTGATGTCTTCCAAGTATAATTGACCTCAGAATGCCCTTGGGAGTCAGCCCTTCTGCCTCAGTTTTCTTGTGGACAGCAGTCTTGGAGCTGTGGAGTGCTAGGACACGGACTCTGGAGCTGGGTTCCGGTAGGGACCCTTGTGTTCCGTGGGCCACGCTTTCTTCATCTTCTGAATAGGGGAATCATCCTCCCTTAATTTTAGAACTGAAATGTATATTTATTTATACAAACAGATTTTAGTCGATGGTAGAATTTTAAAATGTTAGCTTTTCTTCTATCTCCCCTTCCTTAGGAAATTGGGAGGTATGTATTTCTGTTGTGATGATACTATGGTATTATGCTTGTAAACTAAAAACCTCTTAAATTAGACTGTATCCAGTCAGTTACTTATTAATCTGTCCATGGATGTCGGTGGAGTGTAGGTCCTCTCTGCTGTTGTGTAACTGTCAGTTCCTCCCTTTATGTCTGCTAGTACTTTATGTAGTTAGGTGCTCATGTGTAGGGTGCATATATATGAACTGAGTGTTCTTGTATTTATCCCTTTATCATTATATAATGCCCGTCTTTGTCTTTTGTTATAGACTTTGCTCCAAAGTCTGTTTTGTCTGATAGGAGTATTGCCACCCCCATTTTCTTGTCATTTCTGCTTGCATGAAATAAATACCTTTTTCTTTCCCCTCGCTTTCAGTCTGTATGGGTCATTAGCTGTGAAGTAAGTTTCTCGTAAGCGGCGCATAGGGGCTTCTGGTTTTTTATCCAATCATCCATCCTGTTTTTTGACTGCAGCATTTAGTCCATTGACATTTGAAGTAATTATTGATAGCTGTGTACTCACTGCCATTTTAGGACTTGTTTTCTGCTAGTTTTTGTACTTCTCTGTTCATGTCTTCTTTCTGTTTCTTCCCTTGTATTTTGATGATTTTTTTTAGTGGTACCTGTTTTTTTGTTTCTAGTTTTTGTGTGTTTATTGTAGGTTTTTGATTATTGGGTGCCATGGGTTTCATATATGTTGATCTGTATCTACTTGTGGTAAACTAGTAGTCATTTAAGTGCAGACACATTGTAAAAGATCTGCATTTTTTACTTCCCTCCCCTGCACTTTGTGTTTCTGATGTCACATTTTATGTCTTCATGTTGTTGTCTTGTTTGTTTTCTCCCCCTGATTTCGACCCCGCAATCAGGTTACAAGCTGTTCGGAGCCTAGGACGATGACCAGCTCATGCTGTGTCCTCAGCGTTGGGACGGGCGGTGTAGGGGGACCTTATAATCCCTGTGGGTTTGTAGATAGCCTGACCCCTGGCCTGTGTCAGCAGGTCCGCGTTCTAATACCAGCCTGGGCTTGCTGGTTCTTCTTCTTTTTTTTTTTTTTAACATCTTTATTGGAGTATGATTGCTTTACAATGGTGTGTTAGTTTCTGCTTCATAACAAAGTGAATCAGTTATCCATATACATATGCTCCCATATCTCTTCCCTCTTGTGTCTCCCTCCCTCCCACCCTCCCTATCCCACCCCTCCAGGCGGTCACAAAGCACCAAGCTGATCCCCCTGTGCTATGTGGCTGCTTCCCACTAGCTATCTACCTTACGTTTGATAGTATCTATATGTCCGTGCCACTCTCTCACTTCATCCCAGCTTACCCTTCCCCCTCCCCGTGTCATTGCTGATTATTCTTAAAAGACCAGTGTTATTTTATTGTAGTCAAGTTGTCATAATGCAGTGTGTGCCAGACTTGTTGAAAAAGAGGGTGTGAGAAACATTCAGTAGCCAGAGTAACTGCATTAGAATTCAGAAGAGGCAAAAAGGAGTCATAGAGATTTAGAATTTGCTTCAAGAGATCCACAGATGTTTAATCTAGCTCTTTAACGTAGAGGTGAGCAGAGGAAGTCGGGAAGCCTCCCCGAGGTCCCACATAGCATGGGGATGTGGCACCTTGCCTGAGTTGCCTACCTGCCCCCAGTAGTCTTTCAGCTAGACTTAAGATTTTAGGGCTTAAAAATCTTAGATCATAAGTAAAAAGCAAATTATGACACCAAAAATGTCAGTAATATAGCGTATGTAGGATTGCATTAAAAAGAAATATACAGACAAAAAGAAAAGCTGAGGATCTGCATTGCTCTGCCCTAGTTGACTTTTTTCCCTCCCGAATGAGTTCACAGCTAGAAATGACATTGTGGTTTGCAGCACCTGGAAATGTAGATAGAGCCCAGTGCTTTGGTGACAGGTTCCTTATGAAATGTCTTTGGACTCCAGCACCTGAAGTATCCTGATTTCTGGTTCACTTTTTTAAAAAACTGAGTTATTTAGTGGGATTAATATTGTTTGGGGTTTTCAAGTTTCAGATTGTTGGTCAGGAAGTAGCGGAAGTGGGGAAAGCAGATGTCTAACGCTGTGTAGGTAAGGAAGTGAGAAGGCAGTCAAAGCAGGAGCAGCACTTGGAAGAAGCTCCGCGGTTTCTTCCCTTTCTGTCCTTTCCCCACAGTGGAAATCAGTTCGTCATTATAAAAACTGCACGGGCTTGAAGGGAGGACAGAAGCAGCCTAGTCACACAGAACTACTCACCCTGTCTAGCACAGGATCACTGGGTCGGCACGTCCCTGCCAGTGTGTGTCACCTACCAGGAAGTGGGGATAGAATTCGTATACAGATCTCTGGTATTGGAATAAAAGTTGTGATCGAAGATGTCACAATGTTTTTTGCAGGTGGAACATTGAGAATTTATGCAGATAGTTTAAAACCAAATATTCCCTACAAGACGATCCTGCTGTCTACCACAGATCCTGCAGACTTCGCTGTGGCTGAAGCTCTAGAGAAGTACGGTCTGGAGAAAGAAAATCCTAAGGATTATTGCGTTGCCCGCGTGAGTACCTGCCACGTCGGTACTTACCCATATTACACGTGCTAGAACTTTGCATTTAAATGGAAAGGTATTCTTTAAAGGAAGTCAAACTTAGGCTAAATTTCTCCACACTGTATCACTTAGAATCTGGTAAACCGAAACCACGTGTAAATATATACAAGAAACAACATTCTCCTTTCCATTACAAAAGTAATCTGTCTTCCTGCTGTAAACTAAGAAAAGTATAAAAAGGCAAATGGAAGAAAATCCTCTATAGTTCTAATACCAAAGGATAAGCGCTATTAACATTTTGATGTATATCCTTCCAGTTTTTATTTTGCATATCTATAGGTAACAATTTTATTTTAGTAAAATCTGCTTTAATGATTTTTCCTTAGGGTTTTTACTAAGATGTATCCTAACGACCCAACTTTAAATAAATCTTGGTTTGCTGTGCATCATTAACCGACGTTTGGCTGATAGGTTTAGTAGTCATCCGTAACTTCTTGGCGATAAAGGGTGTATCTTTGACCCTAGTACTCAAGAAATACAGTGAAATTTTATGCCTCAGAGTTGAATTGGTGACACTAAATAAAATCAAGCAGAGTTTCTCTTCTAAGACAGACTTTTTGGAAAATTATTAACCTTTAAGTCAGTCGCAAGTATATAATAACTTCTTTATACGCATTATTTCTCTGTCAAAATCTCATTGGAAGTAGATTTTTTTAAGAAGATATCCTTCTTTCTCTCATCTTAGCAACTGATTATTAAATAATGAAAGTGTGGTTACTTGTTTTAGTTCTTGCCCTCGCCAAGATTATTGAGAAATAATTAAAGTACAAGGTATTACATGTATTTAAAGTTTATAACACCATCGGTTTGGGCCTGCAGCACAGTGAACGTTTCCTTCCCCTTCAGAAGTTTCCTGATGCCTCTTTGTATTTTTGTGTTTCATTGTATGGACATGTCACACTTTGTTCATCCATTCACCTGTTAGAATTTGCGTTGTTTCCAGTTTTCAGTTTTGGGCTCTTACAGTAAAACTGCTGTGAGCATACATGTGCAGGTCTTCTCATAGAAGTACTTTTTTTCTTGAGTAAATACTCAAGTGAACGGCTCCGTAGGAGGCATATGTGTAACTGTTAAAGAAACTCTTTCCCACCTGAGTATGCCATTTGCATCCCCACAGTCATATATGAGATGCCGTTGCTCTGCCCCTCGCCCATGCTTGGTTTGGTCAGTCATTTAAACTATTAGGCATTCTGATGGGTGTAGTTGTATCTCATTGTGGAGGAAACTTGAGTTTCCCTGATTATCTGTATACATGTCAAGTCCTGTGTATGACACATGTACTGTGAATATTTTTTTTCCCAGTCTGTGGCTCGGCTTGTCTTTTCATTTTTAAGATGGTATCTTTCCGTGAGGAACAATTTATTATTTTGTTGAAGTCCAGCTTGTTAACTTCTTAGTGCTCTGTACTTTCTGTATGAGAATTCGCTTCCTCCAAGGCTGCAGACACGTGTACCTATATTTTATTTTAGAAGTTTCATGGTTTTAGGTCTTACATTTGGGTCTGTGTGTTCCATTTCAAGGTGACATTTGTGTATGGTGTGAGATTAGGGTCGATGCTCATTTTCTTCTGTACAGATACAGAAAAAAAGACTTTATTTTCTCCCACTGAGTGCATTGGCACCTTGTTGAAAATCAGTTGGCCATATATGTTTGGTTCTATTTCTGGAATCTTCTGTTTCATTTGTATATCTTATATCTTTTCACCAACACCAAACTGTTTTGATTACTGTGGATTTATGGTGAGTCTTAAAATCATATAAAGTCCCAATTTTGCTTTCTCCTTTGGCTTTTAAAAACTGCTTTGGTTATTCTAGGTTATTTGCATTTACAAATAAATTTTAGAATCAACTTATCAATTTCGACATAAAACCTGCTGGAGTTGTGACTGGGTTTGCATTAACTCTGTAGATGAATCCGAATGCTAACAGTGTTCAGTTTTCCAGGCTGTGGACAGAGTGAGTGGTCTTCTGTAAGCTCTCAGCAGTGGTTTCTAGTGTTGCTACAGAGAGAATTAAATAAAAGGCCTTGCTTGAGTTTTATGGCTTTTTTCTTTTTGCTGAAAAGCTGAGACTTTATATTCGGTTGGAAAAACCATTTGGTTAGATGTGTAATTTTATGAATAAAGTTCAATTTTCATCTGAAAATAGATGAGAAAGCAGATGTTTTGATTCCACTGAGATGACAATAAAGGATAAAGCCCTGTGGGAGTGCACGAGAACAAAGAGAGTGAGCGAAGGGCCAGCAGAGCAGTTGTAGATGAGAGTCTGAAGCAGCGGGTGGGTTAGTATCTAAGTTGCTGGACCTGCAGAGGGGGCAGCCGAGGGGAAGCGCGCAGCTGCCTGTCTCCCAGCCCCTAGCGGACTCCGGCATGAGGGGCTCTGGCACGTTCTGAGGCGGCATTGAAAATTGGGCTGAAAACAAATTGGGTGGAAAGTTTTTATAAGCAGTAGTAGCCTCCAGCAGACTGCCTTCCCATCCAGCTGCTGCGTCGTCTCTCCATCCGAAGGCCAGAGTAAAACCGCTGGGGGAGGAGGCCTTGGCTTTGGGGGTAACTGGCATAGCAGGGTCTTTACCACAAGCAGGAGGATGGAGGGGAAGGCTGTACCCAGAAGATTGAAGGATTCCTCCCGGAAGGCACTTTCTGGTCAGAGAAGAAAGATCTGTATGGAAACTGACCTTTGGACGTCTGGTCCAGCAGCCGTCCTCGCCGTTACCGTCAGCTTTCCTGTGACTCGTTGTCTGTGTGAGTGGACGGCCCAGACTCAGTAGACATTTGCAAATGCCTTTAAAATGAAAGACAGACCAACACAGACAGACACAAGAGACAAAGCAGATGGAGTGTGGGAGAGCTAAGAGACTCGGCGGACGGTGCATCCGGAGCACAGTGAGGAGAAGCGTGCGGGGGCTCCTAGGGATTGAAAAGCCCAGGTAAATGAGGGGTGGGGGCAGAATGTCAGTGGAGGGATGAAAGAGCAAGCGGAGGAAATCTGCCGGAGGACAAAAAGAGAGGGGCTCGGGAATTTAGATGATCGGTGCAGAATATCTTAACATTTAGCCCAAGGAGGACCAGGTAGAAAAAGCAACAAGAAATGGAGAGATAGACGTTACCAAAGAAGCAATGCTAGACCATCTCCCAGGACTGAAGGATTTGAGTCTCTAGGTTGAAAAGGCCCACTAAGTAATGGGACAGTTGCTTTGAAAAAGGCCCAAACCAGGGTGTAGTGAAAGTGCAGGAAACTAGAGAAAAAGAGAGGGTAATGATCGCAAAGAAGCAGGTTCAGGGCTTGTATAAAGGGTTGGGGGGCACAGTTGCAGCAGTCACTTCAGCAGTAGCCGTGGACTTTGGAATTCAGGGGAGCGGCGCTTCCTGATGCAGAGGGAACCGACTTCTAGCCACACCCTCTGTCAGGCGCCGGGCGGCTGGAATAAAGACGTTTTAAGACACACACGGCAAAAATCTACCACCCACGCAGCCTCTGTCAGTAAGGTGCTGGAGGACATTCTCCAGCAAAATCGTGGTGTAGGCCAAGAAAGGGAAAAACGGGGTGTCGCAGAACGGGCTCTAGCACAGCAGAAGGGAGTCCCCAGCGACGGGGAAGGAGCGTCTGGGGGTCGCTGTGTAGCCGTCCTCTGCGGCACCTGTTTCAGAGTGGAGGTGATGTCTGAGATGGAAAATATTCTTTAGAAGTACGGTGGTAAATATTAGTTTTAACGTCAAAATAAACAAATAGTAAATTCCTGAGTGTATTTCTGTAAAAACTTTTTTCCCGTGTTGTGTGTTACAGCAATAAACTAAATACTCATCACTTAAGGAATACTTTGAATACCTTGTCATTATGAAACATTTTGAGTTAGACCAATACCAGTTGACTTAGACGTATCTACATTTTATACAATACCCTATTTTTGGAAAAACAGTCACCATACAATAAAACCAAACAACAAAATTCTGTGTGTATGTATACGTGCGCACCAAGAAAGGTACATGCATAGGAAGAATACACACCAGCTTAACTACCTACATGAGGGGAGGGAGAGGAACAGGAGACTTCAAAATGTTACATGTGATCAAGCCATGCACCTTCTTATGTAAAAAAAAAAAAAAAAAGCATAATTATAGAAAGCATGATCAGGAAAATACACTTATTGTCTCACAGATTTTTTTTCCCCTCCTCCTTATGCTTTTCTGTATTTGAGTTTTTTGCATTGAGCCTGTGTTATGTAGAATCAGAAGGAAGGACAGCAGAGCTCATTTCACTGTGGGGTGGAGGAAGGTAGATGGATGCTCGTGAGCGTTTGCTTTTTGCTGCGCCTTTTCTTTCTTTTGGTCTTATTAGAAAGAGACTGAAAACCCGCCTTACTTTGGGGAGGGAGGGGCTGGGAGGGCGAGGTTGGGAGGATAGGTCATCGGGATAATCACGCATTCTCTCCAAAGGGAAAGAACCTGAGATTCAGGCCACACTGGGCGTTTTCCTCCTGCAGGTGAGTTTGAGACAGGGGGACCCTGTTGTCATGATGGCTTCGTTGCTTTCCTGCTTGGGAGAAATAGCAGGATGGAGCAAGCATTAGTGTATGTATGGAAAATATATTTACACCTAAAGAATAATTGTGTCCATGGATTAATGGTAGATTTTGATACACGTTCCTCATAGTTTTGGTTAATAACTGCTGTAAAAAGTGTTCTTAGGATAAAACCAGTAAGACAGCGGTGTAAATAGGGTCTGCATTGCTAAACAGAGGGCTGACCCTTCTCCAGCTGGGTCCCTGTCAGGCTGTGAGCCCAAGGGCAGGAGCTTAGCTGCCACTGCCGAACACTTGGGATTGCTCGAGCGTTCGCCAGGGCAATGTTAACTTTTAAGTGTACATAAATCTGTTAAATAATTCTCAGTTCCATAGAGGTGCATTTGATAGGATATGTGGTAGTGAACTTTATAACATTTTTTTCCTTTCTTTAATTTCTGCCGTGTTTTTACTGATGAAAATCAGAAAGTGAAAGAACACCTTAACCAGGGCATGAAGTTATTGGGCTTTTACTGACGGTCCCTTTTGAGATCACTTGATGACTTCTTTTGAGGGTCGCCTAGTTTTGGTTTTTATTCCTCTCTGTTCTTGCGCATTTTCTTTCGCAAGCTTCAGGAGGATAAATTAGGAGTTGATTATTGTTTTAGCCTTGAGATGGAAGCCCTTTGTTTCCTTGCCGTCTCATCCATCATGTAATATGTAGCCCTTTCATATTCATTCATTCATCTGTTATACCTATTCAGTGAATTACTCAATAAACATGTAGGTTCCTCTTATTTGTTAGATACTGTGCTGGGATGCAAGAATAAGAGCTGCCTTCAAGAGGTTACAGTACAGGGAGACAGAGAGTCCGAGAAAGAAATGCAGGCGAGGAGCTCGAAATTAGAACGGAGGTCAGAGCAGGCTCCCTGGAGGAGTTGTACTTGGGCTGGGAGGTGAGAGGGCACGCTAGCTAGACCCGAAAGCTGGGGACGGGCCTTTGAGGCACAAGGGATCGTGGAAGCATGAGCTTTCGTGGCCCAGTCGAGAATTCGGAGAAGTTCTGTGTGACTGGATCTATGAGGATACGTGACAAAGACTGCGACTTGAAGAGATGAGTGAGGCTCAGGTCCTGAAGCAGTGTGTGCTCCAAGCCCACTGTACTACATGTAATACAAGACGCTGTAAGGAAAGGTTGGTTACTTTAGCATAAGGGTGTGTTGTAATAAACTTGTCTTTTTGGGGTAATTTGCAGCAGTGCGGAGCAAAGTTTTACAGTTCTGTGGAAGTCTAACCCATCTGGTCTATGCACACGATGATCTAATTGGGAGTGAGGTCTGTTAGGGTGACGTTATTACAGGAACTCCAGGCTGAAAATAATTCTCAGGTGCCAGTGCCTGGCTTCTCCTGTTTTCTGTAACCGTGTTTTGGTTGGTGCGAGCGGTGGGGCAGAAGTCAGCGGGGGGTCGGAGACAGAGCCCTGCGGCCGCTGGTTCTGTTCTCTGAGTTACAGAGAGTTTTCTCGAATGATTGAGAAAAGTCGTTTGCTGTAAAACATAGAATAAAGAGTAATCCAGTGTTACAGATTTTTGAGTGTGGTGAATGCAGTATCTCAAAGCATTTGTTGAATGAACGGCCCAGTAATACGTCTAAATGATCTGATTAAAATTTAATCATAAAAACGAATTTTCTACAAGAAAAAGAAAGCTAATCTCTTGTGTGGTTATGTGATGGTTACACCCTAAAAGGTTACCTGTTAGGTGAAACTCCACACTAAAACGTTTGGTTATGAAAGCTGGGTCCTGCAGTCCCCTTTCCCGAAGGAACTACGCACAGGTTGACTGTCGCGTGCAGTCTTTCCAAGAGAGAGTTTGTCAGAAAGCAGACTCAGACTAGTATGGGCCGGGGAGCCGGGCGCAGCGCAGAGAAGCAGGTGAAGGAAGACGGTCCGGCTGGCTGGCCAGGCTTTCAATTGGAAACTATTTTCCGTCACTTCTGTCAGTGTTTTTGAGAATTGTTCATTGTGTTTGACCAATTCAGTTCTATCTACAGTGACTTTTTTATTTCCTCAAAAACAATACATCCTTTCTTTTACATACCTGCTAATTCACGTTTTGGGTGTAGTCACAGCTCATTGTTCTTCCCTCCCAGGTGGTGCTTCCTCCTGGGGCCCAGCATTCTGATGAGAAAGCTGCTGAAGAAATCATCCTTGATGACGACGAGTGTCCTCTACAGATCTTCAGGGAGTGGCCGAATGACAGAGGTGAAGAGTAATCTTATTTGTCCAAGACTTACCTCTGTGATGCGTTACACTCCGACTTGAAATATTAGTCGTTTAACTTACTGGAAGGTGTAGGAAGGTGCGCGTGGCAGTCTTTTGAGGGCTGTTTGCTGTGCAGGTTTCTGCCCCCTTCTTGGACTTGCTGGGTGGTTCCTAGGGGGTCCCCGCATCCTGAGGGCCGCTCTCTGCTGGTGGGTCTAGTGGGAGACCTGGCACAGACCGTTTTGTGGCAGCAGGAGTACCGTGTCCTGAAGAAGCTGGACTTCAGCCCCGTGTCAGGACGTGGGAGGTGGGTGTCTGTCAGCAGCGGGATCCTTTCCCTGCCGACCAGATGGACTGGTGATGTTTGGACAGATTTGTTGTGATAGGGAAAATAGCCTTCAACCCTAAATACCGTCTAGTAATTCAGTCATTTCATGTAATGAATCCAGACTTTTCACTATCGAAACGATTTCTCCTAATTACGTCAAAGCAGTGAGGGTTTAAAGGTATGTTTTTTATGAAATAGAGTTTTCTTGCTTTCAGATACACATCTTAAGCTACCTGTCGCTCTGTGGAGGGCCTTTGCATTAATAAAGACATAAAAACTGACTGCCAGTCCCACTTGAGTGTAGACCGCGAGTTTTAAACATACACTTGCTTAGTACCTTTTCTCAACAGTATAAAGCTAAACTTTATTAAAGTCAGATTGCTTTGAATTCTGAGTTAATTCAGTTGAATTAAATAAGATCAGGTTAACTAAGAATGTATGTGTATTTGTGTGCGCATGTGTTATTACATGTGTGTATGAGTGTATTTATTGATCATAGGGTTCTTTACCAATAGAAACATTCATGTATTCTGAAACTGGAGTGTTGTCTTTCATGCATGTGATATGCTTGGGAGGGGGTTAATTTAAAATAATTTTTGGAAATTGCTTGCTAGAGTTTTCAAGAACATGTCAAGAGAGTAGTATTTCCTCTGTTGAGGGAAAGTGTAAATTGGGTAAAGCTTTTGCTTAATTATTCCCTGGGAGATGTTATTAAATTACATTTTCTTGATAAATCTTTGAACAGTTGATTGCCAGTCAGCTGGCCGTCGACACTCACTTGAGTCTGGTTGCTAATTTACAGTGTTACTGTTCTAGGGATTTTAGTCTTTCAGCTGAAGAGGAGGCCACCAGACTACATCCCAAAGAAAAGCCAGAAGCACATGGATGGGAAGCCGCTGCACGGGAAGGAGCGAGTTGATGGGTCTGGCTACGGCGCTGCACTCCCACCGGAGAAACTGCCCTACCTCGTAGAGCTGAGCCCAGGTGAGAGGTGTTACCAGTGTACATTCTCAGCTTTACATGTTGTTCTTTTTAATGAATGTTATTTTAATTGGTCTTTCTTTTGACTGACAACCTTTTTAAGATCATTTATTTAAAAAAGTAACCATCATAAGATGGTATTCATTAAAAAAACAAAAACCCTTAATTAAGGTTATAGGATATGTATATCTATATGTATATGCATTAAAATATGTATATGCATTAAAAATAAACTTCACCTGCACAGAAATAAATACTGAAAAACAAAATTTTAGTGAATATAGAGAATTTAAGAAGTTTAAATGATTTACTCCCTTTTAAATTTTTTTTCCAAAATAACCCTGTAAAATACTTCACTACTAAAAATGAGAAGCTGAAATGTAGTCCTCTTAGGACAGACGTCATGGAGGCAGGTGTGTGTGTGTTTATCACACTGTTGCTTCATGGATGAACAGTGTCAAAAGAACATTTGTAAATTTAGTTACACCTAAGAAGTCCACCTGTAAGAGGAGCGACGCTTGCTTAGTTTCACAATCATAATAGACCAAGTCTGCTCACGTTAAGCCTTCCAGACACTTCGTTTGTTGAGCTCTCCTCTCTGAAGCTAAAGCTGTTGTCATGACTTAGCCGTCAGGCAGAGAGATACACTGACATTCTTAAGGAAATGTTTTCTACACGCGCGTCGTATGTAGTGTACGTATTCGTACGCACATTTAATATATGTGTGACACGTTTGCTTACTGTTCAGCTGAACTGTATCATTTCTTATTTATTTGGTTAAAATGATGGTATGTGACCTTTATTGTAAAATGCTGTGAAGAACAGAGTGTTGTCCCTCCCACCCAGAACTGCTTTTTAAATAGAGCTCAGTAAGTAATTATAGAAGAAGTGAGCTGAAAGCAGACTGGTTCTGTAGATAGCCTGTGTCTCCTCGGGCGGCAGTTATGTTTTTCCCTTTGATTCCTGAGTATTTATTTTTGTTGACAAGATTATAACTAATGATTAGATGTGGCACTTGTGGTCCAGGGGTCTCCATGGCACAACTGGGTTGTGTTATATTGGTACAGGGAAAATGCTGTTGTTTTGACTGATACTCCATAATTAGTAGTCCGTGGCCGTGTGCTGCAGGTCGTGGTTTTTATGCTTAATTATGTTTGAAGGTTTTTTTAAATTGATTAGCTGTTTATGAGGAAGATGTGAGTGTTGCCTTGCCTCTCAGTTCTCCAGCTGAAAAGTTCATGAAACTTTGGTTTTCTCACAGTGGTTTGCAGACATGATTAGTGGTGAGGGTTTGGTGCTCAGTGGTCCGAGGCAGTGAACGGCGACTGGAAGACAGCCATCTGTTTTTGCACTTAGAAGTTTTTAGGATCATCTTTGGGCATTGGGTCTGCCATTCAAGATTTTGCATTACGTGCTAGAAGCTAATGATTGTTTTCTCCCAAACTGAAATTTTTGAAAATAGGAGTATTAACCCAGAGAGAGTTGATGAATAGCACCTGACGTAGGATGATTTTCAAATGAATAGTGGAAAGTTGACTTGGTGGGCAGCAGAGACAGGATGAGAATTCATCCATTTATTTCTTTGACAAGTACTTACTGACTGCTTACTGTGTGTCAGACACCGTTCTGGACCTTGGAGATAGGAGCACACCAGCAAAGCACATTAAGCCCCTGGCCGTGGGAACGTAGATTCTAGTGGGAATTGGCGTTCTGACTGCTTGCTTCATCCTTACGGCCTCCCGGGTAATAAAACAGAGAGAAATTTTTTGTCGGTGTAAGAAACTGATGGATCCAAGATAAACGCTAGCTGTGTCCTACTGGTTACCAAGTACTGGCGACAGCATCTGTCAGATGCTTGTTAAAACACGGCTTCCTTCACGGCCCTCTGCCACTTTAGCCAGCGTTTACCGAGCTGCTGCTTTAGGCCGTGCAGTAGGTACACAGGTGACTCAGGTGGCTTCCAGAGAGACTCGTGGTCCGAATAGCTGGGCAGCCGGGGCCCCCGTGAGTCTGACGCGCCCGAGCGCCTGGGCTGCCTGCTGGAGAGCTGCAGCGCTCCGCAGGTGCCTGAAGTTCAGCTCCGCGCAGCACTCGCAGGTGAGCAGGTGACGGTGGGGGGGGATGGGGGAAGGCCCGGTTGCCGGCCGGGGTCTGTCTCACTCCAGAGCTGTTCTCTTCACCAGGTCACGCTGTCTTCTTAAGGTGTCGCTGCTGACCGAGCCCAGTCAGCACGCGGAGTGAAATGGACTTAGTTTCCCTGTGTTCGTGGATGCTGACTTGTTACTGAGCGACTGTTTCCCTGGACACGTTGTCAGCCAAGCACGTGTCCTCGGGGTTGGGCCGAGGTCCTGTAGGTGTCCTTGGAGGCTTTTGAGATGTGGGCGGGTGCTTCCACTGTCTTTTGGAGGGACGGGGGTAGAAGTCGTTTTCGTCCCTTGCTCTGGGTTGGGCTGTGCTCTGCAGGGAAGGAGTGGGGTGGGTCTCCCTGTCACGGACAGACAGCTGCTCCCCTGCTGCTCGGGGACTCCCTGTCAACTCAGTGTCCCCCTCAGCAATGTGCCCACGCCGCGCGGAGCATGGCTGCCGTGTCCTCCAGCCCAGGGCTGGGGCGGGACGTGCCTTTCCCCCTGGACAGTCGCCTCCCTGCAGCTCACCCTCTCCTCCTCTCCCCTGCATGCGTCTGCATGGCCTCTGTCCGCCGCTGCTGCCTTCACCCGGGTCCCGCGCGTGTGTGCGCGCCCCAGGGAGAAGGGGTCGCTTTGCCTGCTACGGCTGGCGCGCTTCCTGCTACTGTCTCATCTCGAGCACTAACAACCTCGCGGGCAGAACAGCGGTAACTGACCAGATGCTGGATGTGTTGGCTTTTCAATTAATATAAATAACTTTTCTTAAGAGTTTAATGTACTTTCATTTTATCTCTATCTAGTTAACTCTTCCGTATCCAGGATTCATTTCATTTAATAGCAGCTTATTTTGCAGAAATGTCTGGTGTCTTTGTTCAGGCTAAGTTTTAAGTGGGAATTTGGACTAAAGGAGGGAGAGAGCTGTTTTCCTGTCCTTCGACCCTGTGCGCCCCCAGGAGGAAGAGGGGGAGACACGGGGGGGGGGAGGAGGTGCGGATGGGGGTGGGGGAGGAGGACAGAAGGAGAAATGGGGGTGGTGGGTGGGGGAGGGAGCGCCGATCGGGGCCACGTGTCCGGTGACGCCAGGAGGCTGAGAAGGAAGAGGCCGCCACCCACTTAGTGCCGCTCGTGTCTGTATCGTTCTCGCGAGGCGCTCGCTGCCATCGTGAGCAGGTTTAGGGCGTCCTTGGCCTCGGCCTGCCCTCCTGCTTGAGATCATTTCTGGTTGGCGCAGCTGGACCTTCTTACTTGGAACTTGTTTCTCAGATTTTGTGCATTAGCATCTATCATCTTAAATAGTACATGGAAATACTTCCTTTGTCTGTTTTTATATTTCAAGTGTCATTTTTTACATGTCGATGTAACAATCAAAACTTTCTTGTATATAAAGTTGACTCAGCCTTTCGGCATCTTATCAGTTTGTTGAATTTTCTCCAAACTGATCATACAGGTTTTCATTGGATATTAACCAAACTTGGAGTTTTAGTTTTTTATTCTTTTAAAGAAAAATGGAAACAAGGGATATTTAGTACCTATTTTGATATAATACGTAAGTAGAGTCTAAGACAGGTTTCTGTTGTTATTTTATTCCTGAAAAGGATTCCTTAATGTTTTCACGTGTTGGTTACTTTCACACTGTAAAAGAATGGAGCAAACAGAGAGACAAATACGTTTCCTCTTTTACCTGGTATGTACCGAAAACAGTTTCTTCCCTGTTGTACTGGTTCGCTAAAACGTAAGCGAACGGAAGCTCTCTGGGGGCCAGGACATGAGCTTACTTTCTCACCGCAGACCTCTGGCGTCCGCGCGGCGCCTGGGACACGGAAGCGCTGGTCAGCACTCCTTAAACGCGTGAGTCCCCCGCCCTCTGTTTGCAAGAGACGCCCCAGGCCGTCGTCCACCCAGCTGCCCAGAGGCAGAAGCAGGCCTGGATGTGTAGACATGCTGTGCAGTGACACCGGAAGTGTCCTGAAAAACGTTCTCAGGCTTTGCTCAGAGTCGTCTATTTTAAGTGCGTCCCAAACGTTGGACATTTGACTGGTTGTTGCATATTCCGTTCGGTAACCCCAAATGGTATTCTAACGCTTGTGCAAGCCAGGAGAAGGAAGAACATGAGTATCGGGAGGTGTAATTATATGCGCACAAAATAGACTCTGAAGATTTGCTTCTGGGTGGGGCAGGACTAGGCAGGGGCCGGGTGGGGAAGGGTGCGGTTCACCGGGTCCTTTTTGTGCCTTTTGAATTTTGCACCATATGAACGTGGTACGTGTCTTTAAGGTAAAAGTATGAAATATTTCTAAAAAGCATTTAAAGCCTCTGGAAGAAGCACTCGTCTGTGTGGTAGGGTTACTTCGGAAGATTTATCTCCGCCTTCAGAGGCACTGCGGATCCATCGTAGCTCTCAAGTGAGGAGAGATGTGCTCCGGTACTTAAGCCAGAAATAGAGCATTTGTAGAATCCCTGTTGTGGAAGGGGATAAAATTTTAAGGTTTTTGTTTTAAGCCACAGTTTTACACGTTTGTTACTGCCTGTGAGGTGACTGTGCTCTTACTGAGGAGGGGCCTTGGATCTCCAAGGAGCTGTCAGTTACATTGTGAACGTTACTCGCCTCCGTTTCTGGGTTCTGCCCGAGGTCCCAGAACTCTGTTTTATCTGCCACGTGAGTGGCCACTGTTTAGGTTATTCAGGATATACCTGTAAAGGTATCTTTGTTTTCTATTATTACTGTGAAGCAGAAAGAAAGAAGGGATTGGGAAGGTTTATTTCTGATCCGTCTGTCGATAGATTTCTGTCACAGAGAAAGGAGAGACTGAGAACGTTTGTATCTCTCCCTTTCTTTTTATATTTCTAAATTTGTGGATGTAAATGTTGATGCAGAAAAGTATATAATACCCATTTATTAGCTCACAAGGGACCCTTCAGCAGCATTCAAAGTTCAGAAGAAAGCGAATGTGGAGTTTTCTTTCACCCCTAAACAGACATATTTTTCATGTTCTTCTGCTTTTTAAACATTGTGATTGAAACAGTTGTTCTTGATCACTTATTTGCTTCTTTTGCTTTCTTTATAATTCATTCGTATAATTCTGTGCGAGACCGTATCGCATTATTCTGTTCTCCGCATTTTTAGTTAATAACTCTTCACTGTTAATACGTTAACGCTTTATTGAGCGCACGCTGCACTGAGCACCAGGTGTGGAGAGATTGTTCTAAAGACCTAGCCGCCTGGGAGCTCGGGTGGGAGAGGTGAGGAAGCAGAGACCCTCACCGGACATGGCCAGTGGGCTTGAGACGAAGTGGCTCTCGGTGCGGTGGGTGCCGGAGAGGGTGCTTCTTGACGAGGACCGTCCTTAGGCTGCCTGTGGTGTTTACAGCCAGCAGGGTGGTAAGCATCCCTCAGGGATTTGGGCTCCGCAGGTCTAGAAGGGAACTGAGTCCTGTCCAGGGAAAGCCCCGCGTGACTCGGAGGCCCCGTTTTGGATCAGTGCTTGGAGTTGAAATAAAGTTGTTTAAACGAGGCTTCAGCTGCCAGCAGATCTGATGAGGATGAGCTGTGGAGCGACGCAGACCCGGGGCCCGGCGTTTAGTGCCTGTGAGACGTGTGTCTCTCGAATGCTGCTTCAGTCTCGTCTTACCTTCACCCAGATCCCAGAGATCGCTGCAGACCTGTGGTTAGCGTGTGATCTTGTGCACTCTCAAATGAGCAACCGTTCTAACAGCTTGCACACCCATGTTCCTGGTGTCTTCGGTCTGTGAGAGTTGAGACCACACTGCACTAAGATTTTAGCAGTCTGCACTCTGTGTACACTGCAGTGTTTACACTCCTGATCCTGGGGACTAGAGATCTTAACTGCAGCTCGGTGAGCGATTCTGAAGTCGCTGAGGCTCTGGGGCAGCGGGGCCTGCACAGCATGGGCACAGCGAGGCTGCTGCTGTCACGGCCCTGGGACCGTGTCCTGGCGCGTGAGTGCCGAGGCCCATGTCCCCCGGTGCGATAGCGCTGAGATCAGAATGACCCTCTGTGTTAGGTGGGTTGGGTTGGCAGGTGAGGAGAGGAGGAGCCCATCCGGGGGTCAGTGGGCAGGGGCCGCGGCTCTTGTGGTTCCCCCAAAGCCAGCCCGTCAGACAAAGTGATGGCAGGCAAGGGAAACATCTCAACAGTTCCCGGAAGTATGAAATGACACAGAAGTAAAAAACCCAGGCTCTCCTTTTGTCCTTCACCCCAGCTCCACTCCGTGGAGGTGAGCACTTTTCACGGCAGTTCTTACTGGAGCTTCCTGCCAGGGGTGGCCGTCAGAATCACGTGGGGACACGCGCTGGGGCCTCATCTCTGGGGTCGGTCTGGTCCCGAAGGTCCGGGGTGAGCTGGGAGGTCATACTCCTTCCATCGGTAGCTCCACTGTGCCTGGCGGTCTGTGAGGAGGTCTGGTCTGGAAGGAGCGTCTCCCTGTCTTCTTCAGAGTCAGACACAAGTCTAGGACCGTGTGGTGGGGAAACATTTTTTTCTGTGATAAGAAAACGTCGGTATGAATGACGGTGTTAGTACCTTGAATTATGTTTTAAACAGAAGCTGATGTGCGTATGTCTTACTTTGAATTTTGTGTATTCAGTTACTTAAGTTGCATGATATAAATTTGGGGAGTTCTTTGAACAGAAATCCTGAGAATTGAGAACAGTAGTGTTGCTTCAAAGGTAACCTGTTGTTTGCTTGTTTGTTTCACATAACATGATGAGCACATGCGCCTTGGCTAGTGAAGCCCTGTCCTTCTCTCGTCGCAGATGGTTCCGACTCCAGAGACAAGCCAAAGCTCTACCGCCTTCAGCTGAGTGTCACTGAGGTTGGGACAGAGAAGTTCGACGACGGCTCCATCCAGGTGCGTGTCCGGCTGCCGCTTTGCCGCTTCGGTGGGTCATAGGGCAGCGTGTGGGCCTGCCGCGCCGCGGGTGAGTGGAAGGGAGGGAAAGCCTTTGTATGTAATGGAAGCAGCTTGCTTGCTCTGGGTCACTTCTCTCTGCTTCATTGTGAACAGAGCAGAGTGTGAGTGTCTGTCCCACTCCCCCCCAGACCTCCAGGGCTGTTGCTTTTCTCCAAAAGATGGTGATGGTTTTATAGGTTGTTTCAAGATTACAAGATTAAGGGGGATAACGTAGGTGGAAGTGCCTGTCACTGGGTCACACACGCAGTAGGAGGCGTTCAGTGAAGTATAGTTAAAATGTTAGCTGAACCACAGTGCTCAGGCTGGATTAGAGGAGAGCTTAGCGTGCCTGTGCGTTGGGAAGGGCAGGGCTGCTCGCTTCCTGGGGCTTGGGCGTGGGCAGATGTCCCTTCTCTGTATTCTCCCTTCTCAGTTGTGGCATGAGGGGCCCGATTACTAATGTCATTTTCAGTTCTAACCCCGTCCTCAGCACAGCAGTAAAACAGGTGAACAGGGATTTGTAGCCCTGATGATCTGTGTAGATTTACCCATTAATTGTCTAATATTCAAGATGACCACGTTTTATTTTTTAATAAATTTGTTTATTTATTTTTGGCTGCGTTGGGTCTTCTTTGCTGCGCGCGGGCTTTTCTCTAGTTGCGGTGAGCAGGGGCTACCCTTGTTGTGGTGCGCAGGCTTCGCAGTGCAGTAGCTTCTCTTGTTGCGGAGCACGGGCTCTAGGCGCATGGGCTTCAGTAGTTGTGGCACGCGGGCTCAGTAGTTGTGGCACATGGGCTCAGTAGTTGTGACTCGTGGGCTCTAGAACGCAGGCTCAGTAGTTGTGGCTCTCGGGCTTAGTTGCTCCACGGCATGTGGGATCTTCCTGGACCAGGGCTCGAACCCGTGACCCCTGCACTGGCAGGCGGATTCTTAACCACCGAGCCACCAGGGAAGCCCCATATGCTCTTTAATGCAGAGTTGTGGTACCCCTTAAATCAGGCTGCTGGCTGGTGAAAATACTCAGTTATTTTGACAGTGTTTATTTAATTAATAAATTAAGGGGAAATTCCCTGAAAGCACCAAAAATCCAGAGTTTATTAGATTATATTTATCCTAAAAGAGGGACTTACAGTCTTAAAATTCAGTCTTTGAATCCTCTGTAGTCGGTGATGGACGCTCCTTGGATTTTCCTTTCTTTTTAGTTGTTTGGTTCAGGAATTGAACCCCATCACTGTGACCTCACAAACATGGATGGAGTGGTCACGGTCACGCCGAGGAGCATGGATGCCGAGACCTACGTGGACGGGCAGCGCATCTCGGAGACGACGATGCTGCACAGCGGGATGAAGGTGCAGTTTGGGGTGTCCCATGTGTTTAAGTTCGTGGACCCCAGCCAGGACCACGCTCTGCCCAAGAGATCCGTGGATGGAGGCCTGATGGCGAAGGGTCCCAGACAGAGGCCTGGGTAAGGAGCATCCGTCACTTTAAGAATTCCAGAGTGTTGTGATCGTGCTGAAAATGAAATGAATTCGCCACAGGTTATGTGTTTTATTGTGTTTTCAAAGACTGTGGTTTGTGGTTCAGGTTCTTGTTGATTTGGGTTGGTTTCAGAGAAGAAGAAGAAGAAAGGTCTTGACTTCATCTTGAAATTGGAAGTTGTGGCTGGTTTTTACTTTTAAATTTTGTTTTTTACCTGATACTTTTTAAAAAATAAATTTATTTATTTATTTTTGGCCGCGTTGGGTCTTCGTTGCTGCGCGCGGGCTTTTCTCTAGTTGCCGCGAGCGGGGGCTACTCTTCGTTGCGGTGCGCGGTCTTCTCACTGCGGTAGCTTCTCTTGTTAAGGAGCATGGGTGCCAGGTGTGCGGGCTTCAGTAGTTATGGCGCGCGGGCTCCGTAGTTGTGGCTCGCGGGCTCTAGAGCGCAGGCTCAAGAGTTGTGGCACGTGGGCTTAGCTGCTCCGCGGCATGTGGGATCTTCCCGGACCAGGGCAGGGCTCGAACTCGTGTCCCCTGCATCGGCAGGTGGATTCTTAACCACTGCGCCACCAGGGAAGCCCTAGCTGATACTTTAAAACAACACTTTATTTGAATTATGGTGGTGTGTGTTATGAGCCTTACATCACCGAGGTGTTTTTGTTGAGGTGTGCCTTCTCTGTTACTAGTAGTGAAGCACGTTGTTCTTTGTTAAGGAATTCAAGGTATTTGGCTCCACCTAGTGCCTGTCTGAGGACTTGCAACGTGGGCCTGGTGCTGGAAAAGGAAACTCCTTACCGTCTGGGAAAACTTCTCTGAGGGGAAGGGAATAGGACTTCCTTTTTGATAACATTTTGTTCATGAATATACTGCCCGGTGACTATTACCCGTCTTACAGGTTGCTAGGGTGTGGATCTTGGGAAGACAGGGGCAGTAGCTTCTCCCCGGCCCTGCTGAGAGCACAGACGTAGCATCCCAGGGGTGGCGCTCCTCGTTCCTGTGCCGTGGTTTCCTGCGTGAAACCGCGCAGAGCTTCCACCTGGGGCCACGTGGGGATCGTTCCCGTTCCCTCGTGCTGGCCCTTCGCTAGCTCACTGTCGGCACTAGGAGTTCTACCCTGACGGCTGCTGCCAGGCAGTTGAGGACGTCTTGGCCTCTCGTCTCACTCTGTCCACATTGAATCCTGGCGGTGGAGAAGGGTGAAGGGCAGTCGCGGTTGGTGCAGATAAGACGTAACACCACTCCCGGGTGGACGCTCTGTGGTTCGCGCATGTTCGCGTCAGCAGGGTGGATGTAGGGACTGCCGTGCGGGTGTGGGGATCTGACGTCCCAGCGTCTCGCCTTCCAGTGCCAGGGTTCAGCAAGTGACCGAGCCCTTCGTCCCCGAAAGAACCGGCGTGGGTCTGTTCTTCACAGGAAGGTCCCTGTCTCCATCTTTAAACTGGGCGCGCGATAAACCCGTCCTTCCCTACTGTGTCTGGCAGGACCAGGTTGTTTAAATTCCTTTCTTCAGGTTGTATTTGTTTATCAGCCGTCTCCCCATTTCCTGTCTCTTGTCGTGACCTTCCCACTGGCTCTTCTCTTCAGCAGATGGTCTTGCTGAAAGGGTTTCCATGTTAATTAGCAGCTTTCCTTCGCCCCATTTCTTCCTTTCAGAACCAGACAACTGGACAGGGTAAAGCCCGCCTGCTTAATAGCCTCACGCTTATTCCTCGGAAGTTTCTCCGGAGAACTTACCGTGTGAGCAGTTCTTCTGGTGTGGTGTGTATCGTCTCTCAGCAGTGCCTACGATTACTGCCTCTTATTTGCAACTGGGCTTTACTTCTAGGTTTTGTATCATATTTATTTTGATGGTGTTAGTTGGTAGTGTTACTGTCATAAACACAGTTCTACAAACTGTCTCTGTCCCACTCTTGCAGTCGGCGCTTCAGTTTTGTGGGCGACGTTTTCCTGGGTGAGAACATCCGTCTCCTACTGCTTTTTGCCTTAATGGTTCCTGCTCTGGAGGCCTGCGGTTGTTGATTCTTGTCTTGTCTCTGGCTGAAAGCAGAGTTCGTGTAAGGACATGGAGAACATCTCATTGAGGGGTAGTGCTGCTGTGACATTTTATTTTTATTACATCTTTTTCCTGCAAAACTAGTCAAAACTGCTTAGTGGTTGAATATACCAGTACTTACACGTACATCCATAAAGTAGAACGGACTTTCCTTTTTTATAAAAATTAATACTGTTCTCATGTTAAACCATTATGCAGATTTCTAGGTAGATAACTCAGGTATTCCTTTTTTTCACACATGTATGTATATTTCTTAAATGAGCTATAATTGGCATATTAGTTCAGGCGTGTGACATAGTGATTCAGTATTTGTATGTATTGTGAAATGATCACAGTAAGTCTAGTTACGTCCATCGCCACACGTAGTTATGCAGTTTTTTCCTGTGATGAGAACTTTAGGATCTCCTCTTAGCAGCTTTCAGTTATGCAGCACAGTCTCAGGAAATGTAGTCACTGTGCTGTGCATTACATCCCCAGGACTTAATTATTTTAAAACTGGAAGCCTGTACCTTTTGACCCATTTTGGCATTCCCCCCACCATCCGGACACCCCTGCCTCTGGTATCCACCAGTGTTTGTATCTGTGAGTTTGGTTTTTTTGTTGTTACTGTTTTTTTATATACAGTTTTCAAAGGCCACTTCCCATTTACAGTTATTACAAAATATTGGCTCTGCTCCCCACGTCGTACAACATATTCTTGAGCCCGTGGTACACCCGGCGGTTTACGCCTCCCATCCCACAGCCCCTGTACTGCCCTTCTCCCCACCCCCGTCGTAACCACTAGTTTGTTCTCTGTGTCTGTGAGTCTGCTTCTTTTTTCTTGTATTCACTAGTCTGTTGTATTTTTCAGGTGGTGTCTGTAGGATTTGTCTTTCTCTGTCTGACTTGACTTAGCATAACGCCCTCCAAGTCCATCCATGTTGCTGCAAATGGCAAAATTTCATTCCTTTTATGGCTGTCTTGTTGTTCTAAGTTCCACATGTAAGTGAGATCATATGGCAATTGTCTTTCTCTGACATTCCAGTGAGCACAGTTTCTTCACATTCCATTCATGTTGTCACAAGTGGCAAGATTTCCTTCATTTTATGGTTGAATAATATTCCTGTGAGCGTGTATACACAGACACAGGCGCGCGCGCACACACACACACTCCCACTATATCATCCTTATCCACTCTTCCATCAGTGGACACTTAGGCTGCTCCCGTATCTTGGCTGTTGTGAGTGAGGCTGCAGTGAACGTGAGGTGAGGATACACACCCGGAAGTGGGATTGCTGGGTCGTACGGTGGCTCTTGTGTTAATTGTTGAGGAACCTCCATTACCGGTCTCCATAGTGGCTGCACCGGTCTCCATTCCCACCAGCAGTGCACGAGTGTTCCCTTGTCTCCACACGCTCACCAACACATACCTCTTGTCCTTTTGATGATGGCCATTCTGGTGGGTGTGAGGTGATGCCTCCTTGCGGTTTTGATGTGCGTCTCCCTGGTGGTCAGTGATGTCGAGCATCTTGTCATGTACTCGTTGGTGATCTGTGTGTCTCTAGAAAATGTTTATTCAGATCCTCTGCCCGTTTGTTGATTGTTTCTTGTTTGGGAGGCGATGTTGTTACCGAGCTGTGTGAAGTCTGTATACTTTGGGTATTAGCCCCGTATCAGGTGCGTGGTTTGCAAGCACCCCCCGCTCGCTCACGCTGCAGCTGGCGGCCCCGTCGCTGCGCAGAAGCTTTTACTTTGCCGCAGTCCCACTCATTTATTTTGCTTTTGCTGCCTGTTTTGTCAGATGCAAAAACTCGTCACCAAGACTAGTGTCAAGGAGCTCACTGCCTATATTTTCTTCTGGGAGTTTATGGTTTCAGCTCTTACTCAAGCCTTTGATCCATTTTGAGTTAATCTTTGTGTTTGGTGTAAGATGATGATCCATTCTCATTCTTTTGCACGTGGCTGTCCAGTGTTCCCAACACTTTTTATTGAAGAGACTGTCCTGTATGTTCTCTGTCATTGTATATTCTTGGCTCCTTTGTCATAGATTAATTGACCATACATGTGTGGGTTTGTTTCTGGGCTCTCTATCCTGTTCCATTGATCTGTGTGCCTGTTTTTATGCTGATACCATTCTGTTCTGATTACTATAGCTTTGTACAATAATATAGTTTGAAATCAGGGAGTGACTTGTTCTTTTTCTTTGTTCTGTCTCAAGGTTGCTTTTACTACTTGGGATCTTTTGTGGTTCCATAGAAATTTTAGAATTGTTCTATTTTTGTGAAAAATGCCATTGGAATTTTGATAGGGATTCCAATGAATGTATAGATTGCCGTGGGTGGTAGGGACATTTTAACAATATCCATTCTTCCAGTCCATGAGCACAAAATAACAAATATCCTCCATTTATTTGTATCTTCTTCAGTTTCTTTTATCAGTGTCTTGGAGTTTTCAGTGTACTGGTCTTTCACCTCCTTGGTTAAATTTATTTTTAGGTGTTTTATTCTTTTTGATGCGGCTGTAAATGGGATTATTTTCTTAATGTCTCTGATATTTTATTACTTGTGTATAGAAACACAACATATTTTTGTTATTGGTTTTGAACGCTGCAAGCTTACTGGATTGGCTTATTCTAACACATTTTTTTAGTGGAGTCTTTAGGGTTTTCTGTATATAGCATCTTGTCATCTGCAAATAGTGACAGTTTCCCTTATTTTCTGATTTAGATGGTTCTTATTTCTTTTTCTTGCCTAATTGCTCTGGCTTTGTTGAATAAAATTGGTGAGAGTAGGCGTCCTTGTCTTGTTCCTGATCTTAGAGGAAATGCTTTCAGTTCTTCGCTGTTGAGTGTGATGTTGACTTAGGTTTGTCATACGTGGCCTTTGTGATGATGAGGGATGTTTCTTTTGTGCCCTCTTTGTGGGGAGTTTTTATCACAAATGGCTGTTGAATTTTGTCAGATCTTGTTCTGCATATGTGGAGATGACCGTGGTGTGCCGCGTTGGTGGATTTGTGGCTGTTGAACCATCTGTGTGCATCCCTGGAATAAATCACACTTGATCATGGTGTATGAGCCTCTCAACAGATGTTTTAGGGCTCTTTCTCCCCTTCGGTTGGGCCTCTCTCGTGAACTGGAATAAATGGATTGCATTCACCCTTCATTTCTGCCAAAGAGCTGTAGCTTGCCTCAGATTATTGACTCTTTGAAATGAGATTTCGTTTATATTCTCAACTAATTTTTCATAATGATAAGTTTAACAGTTTTGGTATTTTTGAGATATTCTTAAAAACTGTTTAGAATTACTCTGGATCTACTTATTGACATTATCAAAAATTTCTCCATTTCTTTATTTGTAGCCTAATGGTGGTATCCGTGAGCTTTTAAAAAACCATCAGCTTGGCTTTCAGGCAGGAGTCAGCTGGGCCTGTGCCTTGTCTTCATGCCCACTCCACCCCCCCACCCCACCCCAGCCTTCCCTGAGCCCACACGTGGGCTCCTGGCGCCTCAGGTGTCGGCGCTGTGTTCACACACCCCGGCCTTCCCTGAGCCCACACATGCCATTTGCCACCTAGAGAGACTCACTGATGGAACAGCTTTCTCTGTTTTCCTTTATGCTTCCTTTCAATTTTTTGTTATTAGTTTTCAAAAAACTGATCTCAAAAAAGGGAGAAGACTCAAATCAGTGGAATTAGAAATGAAAAAGGAGAAGTAACAACTGACACTACAGAAATACAAAAGATCATGAGAGATTACTACAAGCAACTCTATGCCAATAAAATGGACAACCTGGAAGAAATGGACAAATACTTAGAAATGCAAAACCTGCCAAGACTGAACCAGGAAAAAAGAGAAAATATGAACAGACCAATCACAAGCACTGAAATTGTGACTGTGATTAAAAATCTTCCAACAAACAAAAGCCCAGGACCAGATGGCTTCACAGGCGAATTCTATCAAACATTTAGAGAAGAGCTAACACCTATCCTTCTCAAACTCTTCCAAAATATAGCAGAGGGAGGAACACTCCCAAATTCATTCTACGAGGCCACCATCACCTTGATACCAAAACCAGACAAGGATGTCACAAAGAAAGAAAACTACAGGCCGATATCACTGATGAACATAGATGCGAAAATCCTCAACAAAATACTAGCAAACAGAATCCAGCAGCACATTAAAAGGATCATACACCATGATCAAGTGGGGTTTATTCCAGGAATGCAAGGATTCTTCAATATACGCAAATCAATCAATGTGATAAACCATATTAACAAATTGAAGGAGAAAAACCATATGATCATCTCAATAGATGCAGAGAAAGCTTTTGACAAAATTCAACACCCATTTATGATAAAAACTCTGCAGAAAGTAGGCATAGAGGGAACTTTCCTCAACATAATAAAGGTCATATATGACAAACCCACAGCCAACATCATCCTCAATGGTGAAACACTGAAAGCATTTCCACTAAGATCAGGAACAAGACAAGGTTGCCCACTCTCACCACTCTTATTCAATATAGTTTTGGAAGTTTTAGCCACAGCAATCAGAGAAGAAAAGGAAATAAAAGGAATCCAAATCGGAAAAGAAGAAGTAAAGCTGTCACTGTTTGCAGATGACATGATCCTATACCTAGAGAACCCTAAAGATGCTACCAGAAAACTACTAGAGCTAATCAATGAATTTGGTAAAGTTGCAGGATACAAAATTAATGCACAGAAATCTCTTGCATTCCTATACACTAATGATGAAAAATCTGAAAGTGAAATCAAGAAAACAGTCCCATTTACCATTGCAACAAAAAGAATAAAATATCTAGGAATAAACCTACCTAAGGAGACAAAAGACCTGTATGCAGAAAATTATAAGACACTGATGAAAGAAATTAAAGATGATACAAATAGACGGAGAGATATACCATGTTCTTGGATTGGAAGAATCAACATTGTGAAAATGACTCTACTACCCAAAGCAATCTACAGATTCAGTGCAATCCCTATCAAACTACCACTGGCATTTTTCACAGAACTAGAACAAAAAATTTCACAATTTGTATGGAAACACAAAAGACCCCGAATAGCCAAAGCAATCTTGAGCACGAAAAACAGAGCTGGAGGAATCAGGCTCCCTGACTTCAGACTATACTACAAAGCTACAGTAATCAAGACAGTATGGTACTGGCACAAAAACAGAAAGATAGATCAATGGAACAGGATAGAAAGCCCAGAGATAAACCCAGGCACACATGGTCACCTTATCTTTGATAAAGGAGGCAGGAATGTACAGTGGAGAAAGGACAGCCTCTTCAATAAGTGGTGCTGGGAAAACTGGACAGGTACATGTAAAAGTATGAGATTAGATCACTCCCTAACACCATACACAAAAATAAGCTCAAAATGGATTAAAGACCTAAACGTAAGGCCAGAAACTATCAAACTCTTAGAGGAAAACATAGACAGAACACTCTGTGACATAAATCACAGCAAGATCCTTTTTGACCCACCTCCTAGAGAAATGGAAATAAAAACAAAAATAAACAAATGGGACCTAATGAAACTTAAAAGCTTTTGCACAGCAAAGGAAACCATAAACAAGACCAAAAGACAACCCTCATAACGGGAGAAAATAGTTGCAAATGAAGCAACTGACAAAGGATTAATCTCCAAAATATACAAGCAGCTCATGCAGCTCAATAACAAAAAAAACAAGCAACCCAATCCAAAGATGGGCAGAAGACCTAAACAGACATTTTTCCAAAGAAGATTTACAGACTGCCAACAAACACATGAAAGCATGCTCAACATCACTAATCATCAGAGAAATGCAAATCAAAACCAGAAAGAGATACCATCTCATACCAGTCAGAATGGCCATCACCAAAAAATCTAGAAACAATAAATGCTGGAGAGGGTGTGGAGAAAAGGGACCACTCCTGCACTGCTGATGGGAATGTGAATTGGTACAGCCACTATGGAGAACAGTATGGAGGTTCCTTAAAAAACTACAAATAGAACTACCATATGACCCAGCAATCCCACTACTGGGCATATACCCTGAGAAAACCATAATTCGAAAAGAGTCATGTACCAAAATGTTCATTGCAGCTCTATTTACAATAGCCCGGAGATGGAAACAACCTAAGTGCCCATCATCGGATGAATGGATAAAGAAGATGTGGCACATATATACAATGGAATATTACTCAGCCATAAAAAGAAACGAAATTGAGCTATTTGTAATGAGGTGGATAGACCTAGAGTCTGTCATACAGAGTGAAGTAAGTCAGAGAAAGACAAATACCGTATGCTAACACATATATATGGAATTTAAGGGAAAAAAATGTCATGAAGAACCTAGGGGTAAGACAGGAATAAAGACACAGACCTACTGGAGAGCGGACTTGAGGATATGGGGAGGGGGAAGGGTGAGCTGTGACAAAGCGAGAGAGAGGCATGGACATAGATACACCACCAAACGTAAGGTAGATAGCTAGTGGGAAGCAGCCGCATAGCACAGGGAGATCAGCTCAGTGCTTTGTGACCGCCTGGAGGGGTGGGATGGGATGGGGAGGGAGGGAGCCGCAAGAGGGAAGAGATATGGGGACATATGTATATGTATAACTGATTCACTTTGTTATAAAGCAGAAACTAACACACCACTGTAAAGCAATTATACCCCAATAAAGATGTTAAAAAAAAAGAAAAAGAAAAATGATAATAAAGAATAAACATGGGAGGTGGAGAAGGAAGGCTCACTTTCTCACCTTTCAGAGTAGAGAGTCAAAAAAAAAAATCTGATCTCAAGAGTATTCAGTATACGTTGGTAGGAACAGCTCACAAAGTCACAGTAGTTTTATTCATTCAGCTCCCATTCTGGCAGCGAAGTGCTTTCGTGCAGGCCCTTGGACGTTGCGGTGTTTAGCTAGCTGTGTTATGGAGAAGAGCCAACCCTAACCTCTCACCACTGGACAGTTGCTAATTCTATGTATTCCTTTCTCTGTCTCAACAGAATCGTTCAGGAGACAACTTTTGATTTGGGAGGAGATGTTCATAGTGGGACAGCATTACCAGCGAGCAAGGTGGGTGATTGTCTCTTAACCTAACAGGACTGTGCTTGTTTCGCATAACAGGACGTCTTTGATGAACTACTGATGACATCCTCGTAAAAGCATTGTACAGACAGACTTTAATAGTGGCCTGCGTGTGGGTGTCCTAACCACTTGTGTGTCTCGTGGTGAGACGTGAGCAGCAGACCGTCTTTTCCGCTAAGGCCGGGAGGCTGTGCTCTCTCTCCCAAGCAGTGTGTCCTAGGCCTGTCCTCTGTGTGGCCAGCCTTTCTCGCTCAGGCCACCCCCGCAGATAGCGGACTCCTGCCCTTCCTCCCTCAGCCTGGGCCCCGGCTCCCGCCTGCCGCTTCACGCCCGTGGGCGCTGTGCGCTCTCTCTTGCGCAGCTGGCTTACTTCTGTCCTCGTTCTGGTTCCCGTCTGCTGGGTCACACCCCGCACCCAGACTCGGGGACTGAAGCAGCAGCTGTTTTGTTTCTTCGTAGCTGTGCAGGGCGGTTTGGGCTCAGTCTGCTCTGCTGGTCTTGCTGGTGGCTCCTTGTGTGGGACGGCTGGTGGCCGGGACCCCTCGCCCATCTCTCTCCACGGGGGCGGCGGACGTCTTAGTGCCTCACGAGAAGCGCTGAGCTCCCAGGCCTTGCGCCTTCCACCGCGCCGTTCACGGGCCCGGCTCGGGGGCAGGAGCTGCTCGCGTGGGGCTCATCTTCGGGCACCGGAACAGATTTTTAAAACCCTTCCTTGCTGTCCTCTCCAGCTACTGCCCGTTTCCTACTCGTGTTCTCAGCACGGTTTCTGGCAGGGATCATCGGCGGTGGCCGTGTCCACGGCCTGCACTCCATCTCCTTTCCCGCTCGTAGGGCCGCACCTGTCCCGGGCACCGACGCCCCCGGTTCCAGGTCCCGCGTGGTCCGTCTCGGCGGTGCCAGCACCACCCAGCGGGTGCACGCCCTCCGCCCCAGGGCCTCTCTCGCCCCCGTCTCACGGCACCTTCCTCCTCAGTCTGATTGGTGGGTCCCCGTCCCCCCCCCCCACCTGATTCTGAAACTGGGGGCCAAGGCTTCAGACCTCGGGCCCCCCTCTTCCGTTGGTACCTGTTCGCAGCTGACCTTAGACAGTTGGATGCCCTTTGTGCGCGCCACTCCCGTCTTGGGCGCCAGCCCCCCAGACTCTGCAGCACCCGTCACATTCAACGCAGCTGAGACAAACGGAGACTTTCTTTCTCACGCACCTTCTCTCCCTCACCCTTCCCCACCTCGGGGCCTGACGTCCCGTCCTCCAGCGTCCTCGGCATCGCTCGACAGAAACCTGTCGCGGGCCACCCTGGCCCCTCTCGTCCCCTCACCTGGTCACGCCCTCACCCGGTCATCGGCAGGTCCCGCCGGCACGGCCCCTGCCCTCTGACCCGCCTTTGTCTGTCGTCCCCGGGAGAGTCTGGCTCAGGCTGCAGCCGTCCTGTGGCGGAGGGACCGCAGAGCTTCTTACACGGCAGCCCCTCCTCTGCTCTTCCCTGGCCCGTCATTCTCCTCCCGGCAGCTGAACCGAGGTATTAAAGACGTGAATTAGACGTTGCTACTGCCCTGCTTCCGAAGCCTCTGGGTGGTTTCTTGTCCCGCTGTCACACGGTCGTCGCTCTGTGTCACACAGCTCCTGGGGCCCGGCCCCCTTCCCTCTCAGCTCAGCATGTGCCACCACTGCTTCTGTTCCCGGGACGCCCACCCCCTTCCCACCCAAAGGCCGGGTGGGCCTGCTTCTCGTGGAACGCTTTTTCCACTGGTTGTCCCCCAGCGAGCCCCTTCTTACCTCGGGCTTCCTCTGCAGTCTCCTCCATGAAGGAGTCTTCCTTGAGCGCCCTGGCACTAGTGCACACCGTACGTGACATTCTTTGTGCAGCCCTTGATACCGTACGCTACTTGTTTGTCGATTGACTGTGGAGTGTGAGCTTGTGAGGGTAGTAGGGCTTGTGTGCTCACTGCTGCACTTCTGCTGCTTAGAAAAATGCCTGGTAGTACGTAAAAGTCTCAGTAAAGATCTTCTAAGCAATTTAATGAATAAGTACTCTCAGAACCCAATATAATAACCATCTTTATAAAAAATTTTGCTTCTTATAAAAACGCATAGTCAATATAGAAAACTTGGCTAAATTGAGAAAACGTGTAAAAAAAACTGAAAACAGTTCATGGTTGGCTTTTGGTAAAATTTTGGTAGATCCTTTTCTGAACTCCTATGCGTGTGTGTGTTCATGTGTATTTTAACATGATTAAATCCTTCTCTACACAGACACACACCTTTCTTTCCTGCTTCCTTCAGCTGTTTTGTGAGCATTTGTTCTAAAAATCATTTGAAAACAGCTAAAGTGGTTTTGTAACATGTTAGTTTATAAACGTATCAGTTTATTTGTTCATTGCCTTACCATTATTCATTTATAACAACTTTTTGTAGTCTAAATGTCGCCATCCGCTGACCAAGCAATTTTATTTCTGTAGCCATACCTTAACAAAGTAATTAATTGCTGTGTGTGAATATATGTGTGTGTGTGTGTGTGTGTATTTATACACACACAAACAAGCACAGCTATCCTGACACTTTATACTGATGAACATTTTAAACAACCTAATAAAAATTGGTTTAATGAACCTTGACGAATAGACAACAGAATGTTAATACAGCCATTACAATTCTGTAACATAAAAATAATGTTACGAGATGTCTACAGCATCAGAAAAAGAATCTTTTACAGAGTGTAGGCTGTGTAATGTCATTTATGGGAGATATAAAGAATGGAAAGATACATGCTGCACAAGGTTAATTCTGGTAGGTAAGACCAGGATGATTTTTATTTACTTATCTGTGCTCAGTTTCTACAGTAAGGGATGTAGCAAGAAGTCTTACATAAATTTTTTGCTGCAATGGATTTTTTACCTAAATTTATTGATTCTGTTCTGATTGTTTTCTGAACATCAGTAACTCATCCCTCTGTCAGCCACAGGCTGGCTAGGACTGGGCACTGCTTGGAGGGACTTACATCGACTGTGTGGGGTTGCTTCATAGGTGTCTTTTCCCTGTGTTGATTAAGGGCAGGAAGCAAGCCAGTTTCGGTACTGAACCCTTCACTAGGTTTTGAGCTGTGATGAGTGAATTCTTACATCCTTCCTTAAAACTCACAAGTAAACAGAGAGCCGCCTCTTCGCGTTGTGCACATACCCTGTCCACTGTGTCCTGACCCAGGAGAACTCCGTGGAGTCAGGTCGCTGCTATTACTGGACTTTCTGCAGGGCCCTGGTGTGTGTGCCCCACGCCTGCATGCCTGTGTTTTAGAGCCAGACGGGGAAAGTGGCCGTGTGTGCTGTTATTCTCTCAGTGACTGTGCTCTTGGGCACACTGCCGTGGACGTGGCATCCTCGGCACTGCTGGGCCCCTCCTGGCCTCTCCTGTCCCTCTGCGGCCCCCCCCCCCGCCTCCCCCGCGACGCTGACTGAGTGTGAAGCGTGGTTGGTCCGCGTGCTGTGTTTAAACGCCCTGTGTTTCCCCTGGACTTAGAGCTCCTCCAGGCTGGACGGCGACAGGGGGCTGTCTGCCGCCAGCACCGCCGAGCGAGGGATGGTGAAGCCCATGGTCAGAGTGGAACAGCAGCTGGACTACCGCAGGCAAGAAAGCAGGTGGGAAATGGGTGCCTTTGGAATTGTGAAAGGAGTGAAAGTACACCTGGAGAGGGTTTGGGTTAAAGGTTACTCACTCCAGAGGTTTGGCTGACATTTTTAGAGTGTTAGCAGTACTTTAAGGTTATTTCCTTTTCATGTTACTGAATTGAAAAAAAAAAGCTTCATCAACAGTTACATCCCTCGCTTACGTGCCACGGCCTCATCCAGGTGAAACGGGAGGCAGTTTGAATTAAGATGTTTCCATGTTAAATGTGCTACTTGGTAAAAACAGGGAGAAAGGGAATTTTTGGAGGATTTTAATATTTGATCATTTTGATATTTAGATAAGACTAATCATTTGACCCATTTCCAGAGGAAATCCTCACGTGTTTAAAAATACACAGAGCCAAGAATGAGGTTGAGGTTGAGTGTCTCAGAGTCACGGAGCGCATCCTGCTGCCTCACGCCCTGACGGCTCCCCGTTGAGAGACGGAGATGAGTCTTTTTCTCTGCTGGCACTGGTCTTGCCTAGTTTTTTTGAACAGAGAACATAGACCTTTTGTTATTTCCTTTTCTTAAGATTTTTAAATATATCTCACCTTAAGTCAGAATTCTGCTTCCTTGTGGCTTCTAAAATTGTTTCGGTGTAGGAAAGCACGGTGGTTCATTGTAGGTGGTGAGCCCTCCTCGCACAGAAACGGGGGAGCTGGGTGTGAACGCTCTCGTTATCAGCAGTGGAGCCGGGAGCGCTCGTCTTTGGTGCTTTTCAGACTTTTGATGAGGCCATGCTGACCGTTCCCTTTCGCAGATCCAGTAACCAAGGCATTAGCTGAGGCAGGTCGCTTACATTTGGTGACAGGCGACAAGCGACTGATACAGTTCTTAAGTTTTCCGTCTTGCAGCAGAGGGCACTGTACATTATAAGATTTTAATAGCGTTCATCATAGTAATTAAATCTGTGGACTCATCTGGGAATCTCAAGTTTTTACCTCATTTTTATTATGGGCTTTTGGTTATTATTCAGTATTTTTTTGTGAATTTTTTTACAATTACAATATGAATCATTATACATGGAGAATTTTTTTTAGATATAATAATAAATAGCCTACTTTCTGTGTCCGGACTTCTTTTTGGTAGTATATTCTAGAATTAGATGCTCAGAACGGTGAATTAGTATTATAAGGAGTTAACCTCATTTGCTTATAAGGTGATCAAGAGGTGTGTATCATAGTTCTTAGCCCATAAATACTTGAATAAGCAAATCATCATTAGGGGAGGGGAAGATTGATTAGGATAATGTTTTTAGGGTATGCAAAATTAATAAGTATATACTTACTAACTTATTAATACATTAATAAATATATGATAATATAGTGTCAGAATAGCCATATGATGATTAATTATATGTCAGAGATTATTTTTTCCTGTGAGCATATATTTTAGTTAAGTTTTTTGCAAGGTCATATTCTTTTGTTTTGCCAAGACTTGTTTAAGTTTTACTGGATATAAATATGTGTTGCTTTGTTGATATGAGGACAGTGATGGAAACAGATGGTTCTTACCATTTTCAGTCTCTGTTTTTCGTGTATATAATACATTGTTAGTATAAGCAGTTCTTCTACACTGGTACGGTCATAAAAATCTAAGTGGCTTTCATGAGCGATTAAATACTAACCTTAGTCAAGAAAACAATTATGAATGATGGAAAAGACTTTTAAAGTACCACTGACACATTTTAAAATTTTTTTCAATGAGAATTTAAATTCCTTATTTTTAATAGATGTGTTGAAGTGATGAAGCATTAAAAAAATTTGGTAAAAATTTATCCAGGTTCACGTTATGGGTATTAAATTGAAAATAACTGCTTAGCTACAATTTCAGATGTTTACAAATACGGCAGCATAAGAAAGACATTAAAATAATTGAGCTTTTGAATTACTTCTGTTTCTAAGAGCATTTTTATACCTAAATTATTGAGTTAAATCCAAATTAATAAATCATAGACTGGATAATGAACTTTGAAGCATGTAATTTGGTGAAAAGAAGGTTTTTTTGTTTTTACTTTTCATGTTTATGATAGTTTGAATGAACTCACATTATATTTCTCCTTATTCATCTTTTGGTGCGTGGAGATGAGGATGGAGGGACCAGAACATTTGTTGTTGGAAAGGAATCACTTTAGTTCGCCCGTCTGTACCTGCGGATCTGTAGTCAGCCGTGTTAGTCATCCTACAGCGTGGTCACCGTGCGTGGGGACAAATGCTAACACTGAGTGGTCAAGGGGACCTGGAATGGCAGGGGTCACGTGTCTAACCTCTATTGGGAGAGAAAGGCGATGTCTAGCTCTTAGGACACTTTTCTTTTTCCTGTGTGAGAGCTCAGTTTCAAGCTCAGTGTGGTTTAGATTTTCTCTGTGTCTCCCAGCAGTGTCTCTTCATTGTCACTTGAGCCATCGCGGTAGCAGGTGCCTGGCAGCCTGATCTCTCTGCTCCACGCGACGTCTTCATCAATAATAAAGAAACAGGGTCAGATCTGTTCTCCTGAGGGAAGCAGATACTTCAAGGACCTGACCTCTGTGAGGAGCTGGGACGTGGTCACTCCCAGTTCACTCATTTGAACGTTTGAATAGGTTCCACGTGAAAACCAGTCATTGGGCTGTGTGTTATTTGAAAAAATTTTATATATAGACATTTAAGAAATAGTTGCAGAAATCTGCACTGGTTGTCAGTGATGTTATTAGCTAATGTGACCGGATTTTAAGAAATGGCCATTTTCCTCTTTCAGAACTCAGGACGCTCCTGGGCCTGACCTAATACTGCCTGCAAGCATTGAATTCAGGGAAAGTTGTGAGTAATTTCAGATTCCATTGGTAGTGAATTACTTCTTGTTCCATTTTTCTCCATCTGATTTTCATGGGGTTTTTTTGTTCTTTTTTTTTTTTTTCTTCTTCTTCTTTTTTGAAATCTTTTCACAGCTGAAGATTCATTTTTATCTGCCATTATAAATTACACTAATAGCTCTACAGTCCATTTTAAGTTGTCACCTACATACGTGTTATATATGGCGTGTCGGTATGTATTGTCCAGCCAGTACAGACCCGATGTCAGTCCCGCAGAACGGACGCACAAAGTGATTGCCATTGTCAACAAGATGGTGAGCATGATGGAAGGGGTCATTCAGGTAAGCGCCAGCCTGCAAAGCCAGTTCAATGACCGTGTTTATAATTTTTAAATCAGTTAAGTTAGTTTTTTTAACATTTCAGATTTGTTTACATGTTTGACTTCGTCTTAATTTTTTCTAAAACGAAAGTTACATAAGTAGGATTAGAAATCGTGTAGCTTTAAAAGTTGAAAAGAAATGTAAACTTCTTTTCTGTTTCTTCCCTCCAAAATTTAAAATAAGGGAAGAGAGACTGTACATGGTAACATAATGATCATGAAAAAGACCCTTGAAATTACACTAGTTGTGAGAAGGCATTGAGAATTTAAAAAATAATAATAAATTACTGAGGTGAAATTCACGTAACATAAAATGAACCATTTTAAAGTGAGTAGTTGGGTAGCATCAGTACATTCACAGTGTTGTGCAGCCTCCTGAACTTGGTTCCATAGCTTTTCCATCACTCCAGACAGACCCCTCACCCACCGAGCAGTTTCTCTCCATTACCCGCCCCATCAGTTCCTGACACCTCCTTAGAATTTTTTAATGGTTATGAAAAAGGACTTGTTCTTTTATAATGAGCCTACTAGGATGTTGGTAGTTAGCATCTGGGTTTTTTGATAGCAAACTTGTGTAGGTATAATGGACATCGTGACATTTCTCACTTACGATGAAAATCAGATTCAAATTCTTTCATAAACCAGTTTTAAAGTTTTCGGGAAATTAGGATGTTTTCGTGGCAGAATGGTTTGTTTCCTTTAGTACTGTCTTGTCTGTAGTTGATAAAATTGGCGTAATCGTTTTCCAGACTTTTAGATAACTTGGAGGTTTAAAGTCCTTAAAAGTAAATTTACAGATTTTTTTAAAAAGTGTTTCTAAATCACTTGTCAACACTATTTATTACTCAGCTGTGAAACTCTAGGTATATAATGTTACATAGCATGGCTAGATGGTTTGATTGTTTTTCTCCTGTCAGGATACTTTTCAAACTAGAAAAGACTAGTTTGAGGCAGACTAGTCTTTTAATTCCCTCAGAACTGTTTTAAAAGGCCAGACATTTGCAAGAAGGGTTTCTTTTATGTTTGAGTGGTTAGCCTGTGAATTTGAGGAGGTTATGAGTCTTCTACCCAAGTGAGGAAACAGATAAAAAGGAAAGTCGTTCTATTTGGATACCATTTTGTTACTCTCTTATTATTTTATAGACAGATGTGGATTTCCTTTCCAGTTGTCATTCAGAGCCATTGTCTGTCTTCCATCGCGTTTGAATTTCAAATTATCAGACTCCCATCAGCAAACTACTTTTGATGGACTTTTCTTAACTAGGCAGTGAAATCACCATTATCAGGACAAGCCTTTCAGACTTCAGATTTAGGTTCAGGATGTGATTGGAGATCTAAAAATCTTCAATTTTTAGAGAGTAATTATGGAATAATTAAAATTCTTTCATTTTTTGTAAAAACCTACTTTCAAAAAACAAGTTACTCCCTTCTAGTATAGAAATAATGCATCTTTAATACATTTTTAAGTTCTCAGCTCTTACTGTTTTTGCTGGTCTTTCTTGTTTTTCATTCTTATTAACTGGTCCAGGAGAATAGACGCTCAAGTTATGTACGTTTAAGTCGTCTCAAACACGCAACGCTGTTACGAGATGTTAAGAAGTCCTTTTCTTTGTAAATCTTTTAAAGAGATCAGTGTATTCATTTGTTTATTGTAACATCTTCTTTATAGATAAACTCTAGGAATTCCCTTCGTTACTGTGCCAGTTTTAAGAACATGAAACTAATCGTTTATGCCCTAGGCTTCCAAAGCTGCCTCAGAACTGTAAATGAGTGTGTAACGTGGGAATAGCGTAACTAAATGTCGTACCCTCATGTCGTACCTTCGTGTTAGTGTTTTGATTTTTTTTTTTTTTTTTAACTATCATGATTGTTTACAAGTTTCTTTCTCTCGTTCTGCTTGGTTTCCCCGCGTCTGTTTTTCTCCAGGAAGTAGACCAGGTTGATCAGGTAGGACATACTGCTGGGAGCCGATCCTCCTGGCTGTGTTGGCTTAGCTGAGTTTCTCATGCTGCTTCCATGTCAAAGTACAACAACAACCGGACCGAGGCTCATAACACTCATTTGGCAGCTGGAACATGCAGTACTAAAACCCTTTTTGGACTGTGCAGCCTTTATCAGCATTTCATAACTTTTGCTTAATGCACTTCAGTGTGGATATGAAATGACAGAAGTTCTGTTTCTTCTCTTTATCGTTTATCCTTGGTTCCTATTCTTTGGATCTCATCTGAGGTTGCCTGGCCTGCACATGTGGTCGGGAGATGACACGATAGATCAGTACTTGATACCGAGTTGCTTGGTGTCCAAGCCAGTGACTTTGAGTATCAGGGTGGCTGTTGGGTAACCATGGATACACGTGTGTATACTTCACAGATTACCAGATAACGCACAATCTCCAATTTGGTGTTGCATTATTCGATACCTCCTTCCCCCCACTGATTCCATAAATTGTAGCTCACTAGATCCGTGTGTCTATACATGAATCCTAAGAAGTTGCAGTGGGTTTTTACTTTCCATTGCTATGTATGTACCCAAATTCCTCTGCAAGTATCTGGTATCTGTGGTAAATACCTTGGTGAAAATGGGAAGGTACTGGTCTATCTTCAGCAGCTTTTCAAGAGCATTCCTTTTTATTTTTATTGTTGTTGTTTGTCCTGTGGTTGCTATGGAAACGTGTTCTGTCTACAGAAACAGAAGAATATTGCAGGGGCGCTTGCTTTCTGGATGGCAAATGCATCTGAGCTGCTCAACTTCATAAAGCAGGACCGAGATCTGAGTCGAATCACGCTGGACGCCCAGGATGTTCTAGCACACTTGGTTCAGACGGCCTTTAAGTAAGAGCGTGTGTCTGGAGATGATACTGTCCTGTAAAGATTTAAATCATGTTTTCTGGTTAAACTTTCAAAACTAATTTTAAGGGTTTTTATTTACCCTAATTGAAGATGGATATCAAGAAGCATAAATAACTATATGTAAAATGTGTTGATTTAATAAATTTAATTCACTTAGCTCTGTTTCAAGAATCCTGAGAGTAGAACTCTTACATATATTTTTTACATGAAAGATATTTCTAAACAGTACGAATTGTTTCTCTTGTGATATTATGTCTGGTGATAGCAGGGCGTCCTTCTGAGATTATTAAAATTGTTTACGTATTTTCAGATACCTGGTTCACTGTCTTCAGTCAGAACTGAATAATTACATGCCAGCCTTTCTGGACGACCCCGAAGAGAACAGTCTGCAGAGACCCAAAATAGGTTAGGCTTCTCTTTTTCTCCTTCGTCCCCTCCTTCCCTCCTTCTCCTGTTTCTTTAGCTTCATTTTAATATTTGCTGTATGTGAGAGGGAGGTATTATGAAAGTAATGAGACATCCTATTGGATCTGGCATTCTTAACTAATAAATTGTGATCACCACGTGTCTTGTTTAAGAAGAGTTACCTTGTCGCATCCTGCTGGTGCGACATCAGACTTTCCCAGAGGTCTGTCCGGGTGAACTTAAGTAGATACAGTTCATACCGCTACGTATTGGTAGTTCGAGACCACGTCACTGCTCCCTGTTGGGGTGAGATTGCTGTTCTAAAGAGGTTGAACGGACGTCACGCGCATTTACCGCTAATTCCGGAGCGCTCTCGGTGACGCAGTGCCGTCTCTCTGCACAGACGACGTGCTGCACACGCTCACGGGGGCCATGTCGCTGCTGCGCCGCTGCCGGGTCAACGCCGCGCTGACCATCCAGCTCTTCTCCCAGCTCTTCCACTTCATCAACATGTGGCTGTTCAACAGGCTGGTGACCGACCCCGAGTCGGGGCTGTGCTCCCACTACTGGGGCGCCATCATCCGCCAGCAGCTCGGGCATGTGGAGGCCTGGGCGGAGAAGCAGGGCCTGGAGCTGGCGGCCGACTGCCACCTCAGCAGGATCGTGCAGGTGGGTGGTCCCAGCCCCGCTGCCCCGCTCAGTGGCGCTGTCGTACACGTCTCTGGTTCTACCACGGGGGGAACGTGGACTCCGCAGAGCTCAGCACCCTCCTTCTGGGGTTTTTCACATGTACACGTAGGTTTATTAGTTTGCCTGGGTTGCTTGAACAAAGTGCACAAATGTGGTGGCTTAAACAGCAGAAATGTATTGTGTCTGGAGGCCAGAAGTCTGAGGTCAAGGCCAGGGCACGTTGGTTCCTGCGAGGGAGACTCTGCTCCAGGCCTCCGTAGGCTCTGCTGGCTGTTGGCAGTCTTTGGTGTCCCCGGGCTTGTGGACACACCACCCGTCCCCGCCTCTGCCTTTGTCTTCCTGGACGCACACCTGTGTCCAAACGTCCGCCTTTTATGAAGACGCCAGACCTACTGACCTGATTTAACTTGATTCCTTCTGTTAGGATCGTGTCTCCAAATAAGGTGACGTTCTGAGGTAAACAGGGTTAGGACTTCCCCACATGAATTTTGGAGGACACAGTACAGCCCGTAATAGGTGGTACTCAGTAGAATAAATACCTTAAAGGGTTTTTTAAATTGAGAATAGTAAGGTATATTTCATGAAGCTCCTTACTGAAAGATAAAGTCCAGTTTGAAAATGGATGGTGACTGCCTCTTTAGGAATACAAAGCCAGGTGACCACAGAGCAAAGACCTATAGCAGATACACAGATAAAGAGAAAGGGATCTAAGCACACCACTGCAGAAAATCATCAGGTCACCAGGAACAGAGCAGGAGAAGAGCAAAGGAACAAAGGAGTACAGCAGAGCCATGTCCTGATGGCTTAACCAGTTCTAGGAACTTCCTAGGTATTAAGACTAGGAACTGGTGTTTTGCAGTTAAGGAAATGAGTATCTAGAGCCTCATACCCTAGGACATTTTTTTAGTATTATTACAGTGTATTATTACAGTGTATTATTACAGTGTATAATTTTGTATTTTTTTCTCAGTCTCTTAAAAAGATTTAGTTTCGAAAGAGGTTTCTGCCCTCTTACTTTCATTGAATCAGCGAGTTATTTAAAAAGTCATTACAGGGACTTCCCTGGTGGTCCAGTGGGAAAGAATCCACCTTACAGTGCAGGGGACGTGGGTTTGATCCCTGGTCCGGGAACTGGGGTCCCACATGCCGCGGGGCAACTAAGCCTGCGCGCCGCAACTGCTAAGCTTGTGCTCCTCAGCTAGAGAGCCCGCGTGCCACAAACCACAGAGCCCACGCGCCCTGGAGCCCGTGCGCCACAACTAGAGAAGCCTGCCCATCACAACGGAAGATCCCGCGTGCCTCAGCGAAGATCCCACGTGCTGCAACTAAGGCCTGATGCAGCGAAAAATAAATAAATTAAACAAATAAATAATAAATAAATCTTTTAAAAAAGAAGTCATTACAGTGGTATTTTACTCAGACCTTAGTAATTGGTGATCTTAGTGGTTATATAAATGTTGAAGTTTCTAAGAAGTTTTTGTTGTTTTTGTTTTTGTTTGTTTTTGCGGTACGCGGGCCTCTCACTGTCGTGGCCTCTCCCGTTGCGGAGCACAGGCTCCGGACGCACAGGCTCAGCGGCCATGGCTCACGGGCCCAGCCGCTCTGTGGGAAGATGTGGGATCTTCCCACACCGGGGCACGAACCCGCGTCCCCTGCATCAGCAGGCGGATTCTTAACCACTGCACCACCAGGGAAGCCCTCTAAGAAGTTTTAAATGCTCTCTGAACATAAATTATTGAGTCTCATTATAAATATATATTTTAATAAAACAATTCATCTAAAAACCTTTACGATGCTTTGAGTTCAGTTTAACACATATAGGTAATGTTAATGGAACTGTATTTTCTTAAAAACACCCTGCATTTCAAAATCAAATTAGCAAGTTATTGCAGTTTTACAAATGTTATGTAAAGGGGAATATTTATGAAATACTTTTAAATCATGATCTTTCATGTTGCTCATTCCAAATTAGGCAACCACTTTGCTCACGATGGATAAGTACGCACCCGATGACATCCCAAATATAAACAGTACCTGCTTCAAGTTAAATTCGCTGCAGCTTCAAGCCTTACTTCAGAACTACCACTGTGCACCCGATGAGCCTTTTGTCCCTACAGTAAGTGACAGCACCACACTGCCACTCCATGCGGGCCGTGTCTGCACAGGGAAATGTGGAGAAAACGGGAAGTTTATGTAATCAGTTCCCTTATTTCTTTAGTAAGTAAGATCATTCACTTGGTCGTCTCACGAGGTCACTTTTGCTATTGATGTCTGTATGAGTTAGAGGTCGGTGCAAGAAGTGGAAACTACATAAGCATGTTAAGTAGAAAGGGATTTAATTCGGGGATTGAGGTTGTTGGAAAATGGTTGGAAAGCCGGGGCGGGGAGTGAGGAAGTTGCCCTGACATCTGAGTTCCCGGGCGCGGCGCTGTGACCCGAGACCCCGAGTGCCATCCTTGTGTTCACGCAGCAATAGCTGCAGGGGCTCCCCAACCTGTGCAGAGGTGTCTGCCTGGTAAAACCCAGGTTCTTGTCCAGAACAGAGTCTGCTATTTTGGGATGCCTCCTAGAAGGGACAGAGGGTGAGAAGCACAGAAAACAGTACGTGCTGCAGCTGGCTCTCTATAGAGAGGAATGCTGCATGTGCCCTGAGAATTCGGTAGAGAAGTAACCTAATTGGATGGATGGCTTGATCTCCAGTGTGGGGTTTATGCCTACAGAAGACAGGTACAGAATCGCCCAAACCTGGAAACTACTACCTGTCCCCAAATAGACCGTGTCGCAGTACGGTAGAGGAGCCTAACGTGGCTGCACAGCAATGCAGGAAGTCACGTACCAGCTCTACACCCTGGGCTTCCCTTTGCACGGACTCGGGGACACAGGAGGACGCGGGTTAGAAGCCTGGGTGGCAGAGACTTTGGGGACGGAGGACAGGGCAGTGAGGGCAGCTTCGCAGTGGGTGTGGTTCGGTCCCCCGAGCGGGCTGGTTGGTGGGGGCAGAGCGTTCGTGTGCTCAGCTGTACAGTTAGGAGTTGTGAACTGTCCTGTGTGTACGTTATCTCACTAACGGAAAGTTTTTAAACAAGAATCACCCATAAACCCATAATAAGGCAATAACCCGCGTAAGCCGGGAATAGATATTTTTGTCCTGATTTTTTTTACATTTAACATTGTGTGAGATTTTTCCGATGTCGTGAAGTATAAAAATAAGGTTATTAGCAAATGGATGTTAAAAAATTGTGCAAGGAAAAAACTATTTTTGAGAAGGGAAAAAGACCGTTTTCTTGTGGTCGAAGAATTTCTTTCTGTTTAAAACTACAGGTCTTTGGAAATTAATAATTAATATGGAAGCTGACATATTAAGAGTGTGTGCTGTACTAGTGTTCTATTGCTTTACAGACTGATCTGAATTGTTGATAGACTTCACTCTCCCCGCGCGTGTGTATGTAGCCACGCTACGCGTGCTTAGACGTTTTTCTGACAGCTGCTGGTCAGCTGCGCCCGTCACCGAGCGTGTCCTTAGCTCTGTGTCTGTTTTCCAACCAGGACCTGATGGAGCATGTGGTGGCTGTGGCGGAGAACACAGCCGACGAGCTGGCACGCAGTGACGGGCGGGAGGTGCAGCTGGAGGAGGACCCCGACCTGCAGCTGCCGTTCCTTCTGCCCGAGGACGGCTACTCCTGCGACGTTGTCAGAAACATCCCAAACGGCTTACAGGAGTTTCTGGACCCTTTGTGCCAGAGAGGTGGGTGGCGGTGCCCACACCTGGCATCCGAGCTGGCCCGCATGCAGGCGAGCCTTGCGCTCGTGTGTGTCAACCCACCCGCGTTGTGTGCGCCCTGTGTGCTGGAAAAGCTGGGGGTCCAGCGGCTTGGAAGGGAGCGTCCCGTGGGGACGTGGGGTCAGAGGCGTGCAGACCATGGGGTCCTGGGTGTTGCCCCGGCTACCCGCGAGCTTGCCTGGTGTCAGGTTACAGCAGGAGGGACCTTGGCCGCCCCTCCCTCCTGGGTTCTGTGAGAGCCTGGGAGCTCCATCTGCCCCGTTAGCGCGAACCGTAAGTGTTGGTGCCCCCAGAGCAGAGCAGGCAAGAACAGCACCAGCGTTAGAACCAGACGGCCGGAGCTCTGACCCCACTGTCGCCTTTGACCTCCCCCGTGCAGTGGGCGTGTCGACGGTGCCACCCCACGGGGCTGTCTTGAGGATTGAGCAGGTGGCTGAGTGTGGAGCCCCTGGCACTGTGGCACGGGGCGAGCCCGTGCACGTCACGATGCCAAGCTCGCACGCGCGTGTGTGCCGATGCACCGGCACAGCGCATCTCGCTTCCCGCTTTTACTCTGTGCCCTCCGTCCACCCTCTTGTTGATGTGTTCCGAGGAAGACACAGGCCCACCTCGGAGGCGCCGTGGGTCTGGTTCCAGGCCACGGCGATGAAGAGGACGCCGCAGGAAAGCAAGGCGCGTGGAGCTCTGGTTCCCAGCACGTGTGCGGAGGTTATGTTCACACCGTGCTGTCATCCGTCTGTTAGGCGTGCAGAAGCAGTACGTCTGAAAAGCAATGGACGGGCCTTCGATAAAAAAGTACCTTATCGCTGAGAAATGCTGGTCACCGCCCAAGCCTCAGCAAGTCTGAGTCGTCACAGATCGATCACAGGCCACCGTGACACACACGATAATAATGGAAAAGCTTGAAAGAGTGCAAGAATTCCCAGAATGTGACACGCAGACCTGAAGGGAGCAGATGCTGTGGGGAAAGTGGCGTCGACAGCCTTGCCTGAGGCAGGGCTGCCACAGACCTTTCCATCCGTAGGGGAAACAGTCTTTGCAAAGTGCGATAAAATGAGGTCTGCCTACCACAGTTACGCCTGAGCCACGAGCTTTTAAATTAGACTGCATTTCACTTCTCGTCTGCTGCTTTTGTGTAATGTGGAGCTCAGATGAGTAGCAGAAGAGAAGCAAAATTTAGGAGTTAACTTTTCTATTATTTTTTTTTTTGCTTAAATTAAGGTCCGTAGATATGTAAATATATAAACTTAGTGTGACTTTTAACTTCAGTGAATGTTTCAGTCACCACAATAGGTCTTTACATCTTCAAAGGTTTTGATCGTTTTAAAAAATTCATTTTATAAAGGCTGCTGCTTGTAACGAAATGTGTTTGTACAGCAGCTGGCAGACGTGTCTGTAACCCTCCCGGGAGCGCTGACTGAGCTCTTGGTGCTGTCCTGGGAGAAGCACAGGCAGGGTGGGATGTGGTTCTTACAGCATCGGTGTGTGCAGGATGAAGGGGCGGGGGCAGCGGTGGGCTGGCAGAGCCCGCAGTTCAGCCCTGACTCTGGGACAAGCGGGGCGGAAGGGAGGGGTGCGGGCTGCAGGCACGTCTGAGAGAGCTTCAGTCGGGCAGCGGGAGTCCCTGAGCCACAGTGGCCTGAGCGGGGGCCTGGTAGGGAAGTGGTGGCCAGGGCAGCCGCTCTGGGGCCGTGGGGCTGCTTTGGGGTGTCCTCCCTGCTCCCGTGGGCTCCCTGACACTCACGCAGCAGCCCTGCACCTTCACCGCCAGGCTGGTTCCTGCTCTCCTGCTCTGAACGTCCCCGTCGCCTGCCGTTGGGCGTGGCACCATCTCCTGCCAGTCGTGGCCCCCTACCTGCAAGCACACGAGCCGTGTTCCCAGTACTGGACCGTGTGCTGTGCGTCCATGTGGTCGCTCCCCGCGTCCACTCCTCTCCCCGCTGTCTGACTCCCGGCAGTGGCCCTGTTTTTCTGAAATTCCAGGCAGCACCCCTTTGCCTGTGGACTCAGCCTCTCCCTCACACTGCTGCCACCTTCCCCCTCCGTGGTTCTCCCCGTCTTCGGTGACACTTGGTGCCAGTGTGTGAGCCGTCTGTGTGCGTCCAGCAGGACGGGCTGGCGGTCGTCCCTGCTCTCCGCCTGCTCAGTGCCGGGCAGAGGGCCTTCGGGGCCACGTGCCGGCAGAGCTGCTCTTCAGGGCCTTGTGAATAAGCCTGCGGAGGCTGACTCACCAGCCCCCGTGGGACGTGCTAGGCGTGCTGGGTACCCAGCTGCCGGCTCCACAGTAGGTACTGCGGAGAGGGGCTTGGCCAGCCCGGGGGCAGCGCCATCCTGACTGCACGATGCCATTTTTTCCGTGATTTCCCCTTAGGCTTTCCTGAATGATTCGTTGTGGGGCGTACGTGTATTTCCTCACGGTCTAGGCGGCCCCACGCTCTTTTCGTACATCTTAGATGATAACGTAGCCAAGTACAAAGCCGCTTTTAAATAAGACTTACAGAGAACTGGGTGTTTTCTTCTATGACGTCAGCGGTTTTAATTCTTCATGCTCAGTTTTTTTGTAAGCCAAAGAAAGAACTGCTGTGTGCTCTCAATGTATGTTCCTTTGGCTTTTTCGTGTGATACGATTCTATGAGAGAAGCTATAAAACCAGCACAGACTCATACCTGACCTGAGGTGCGTTCCTGATGCTGAGAAAGTAAACTGTCTGTGTGCATATGGTCCAGACATGCAAACCTGATGTTTAAAAAATTAGAAAATTACAACTGTTGACGTTTCAAAACCGTGAGAATTATGATTCGCTAAAGCATGGGAAAGAGAAGTAAATTGTAGTAATATTTCAATGAAACTGGATTGAAACAGTGATTTTTTTTTGGAAAAAAAGGACTAAAACTAAGTAAAAATAATTTGTGCCCGTATTTTAATTGAGTATATTTGTGATGTCTTCTTTTCCCTCTGCCACAAACAACCTCATAACTGTCCAAAGATAACAGCCCCCCCCCCACCCCCCCAGCACCCAGGTCGTGGGGACCAGGGCGTGTCTGGCAAGCAGTGTGCTCTTCGTAATTGTGAGCTGCTGCTAATAAGACCACTTTGGAGAAAAGAATTGTGCAGGGCCTGCGTGATCTGACTTTGTCACGAAATCTCTGAGAAACTCTGTAAGATCTGACAAATGAGGAATGACGTAGGCTTAGTGTTGTAAAGATGTCATTTGTCCCTGATGAACATATCAGAGATATTCTTTAAAACAGTATAAAATGATTCTAAATTTTCGTTTGGAAGAAATTTAAGTGAGTGTGACTTGTCAGAAAATGTGGGCAAAGAGTGATGAGAAGGAGGCCAGTCCTACCCCAGAATTGCTACACGAGTGGAATCAATCGTTTGCCCCAGCGCGTGAGCCTGTGCGCAGACGTCTGTGCTGGTGCCGTTCTCTGGCCCCTCTTTCCTTTCCTGTGTTAGAGATTCTCAGCGTGACTGAGGAGCTCTTAGTTGAGCAGAGCAGGCCAGTCTGCAAGGAAGCAATTTCCGTGCACTTCTGTAATTTTTCATCGATGTAAGAGAAAAAGTCTTTGGAATAAAGAAGAGGGGAGACCAATTTCACTTCTCTGCTTGGTGCTGAAATTCCATTGGACCGAAGCAAATACGCAGTTTTAAATGTCTGATGATGCCGTTTTCAGAGAGAGTGAAAGTAATTCAGGAAAATAAATGTCATTAGGCGTCATGCAGTTGCTGCTTTCGGTTGCTTCCCTTGTTGAAGATTATGGGTCCGACGTGTGCTTTGCATTCTTAACAGTTTGCCTGTTTTCTCCGCAGGATTTTGCAGGTTAATTCCTCACCCGCGCTCGCCAGGCACGTGGACGATATATTTTGAAGGTGCAGATTATGAGAGTCACCTTACGCGGGAGAACACGGAACTGGCAAGTATCGTGACAATGACAGACGGACAAGGAAAAGAAGCGGGTGCCTTAACGATTTGAAAATATTTTCTTTATTTTCAGGCCATGTCTGTATAGTTTTGTCTATAAACAAATGGTACTTTTAAAAATAAGGCATACTTATACCCACAGTTACATCAACCATAATACCTATTTAAAATATATATTAATATGGTAGTCTCAATGGGTTTTATTAGAAAAGTTTTCTTTGGTAAAAGTATTTTGTTTTTTCTAGTCAGTTCTGCCTTGTCTTAAATGTGTGCCAAATCATTTACTAATATTTTGTATCTTTCTGAAAGCGCGGTCATCCCGGCATTCACTAGCCTCATAGATTTTAGGGAGAATTCTGCCTTGCTTCCCACAGAGATTTAAACAAGAAAGGGTGCTTTTCCTTGTCTTAGAAAGTGGTGCCAGACCAGAGTTGTCATATGCTACGTACACTAGCAAGTCATTCCAGGAAAAACACAAACAAATGAAATTTTTCCTTTTAGAACTCTTTTGTTCCATTCCATTTACCTTAAACGTTACCTTAAATGTAATTGCCTCTTAAGCCACGTAAGGGTTCAGGGGAGCCAAGCAGAGTGACCACACGTTGGGCAGGTGACTGTGGGCAGGGTCCGTGTGCTACATGCGACGGACGTGGCAGTCAGTCCCCTGGCCCTGACACCAGTGTGCCCAGGCCAAGATTCAGGGATTCTCGTCTATGCAAAACAGCCACAAGTCTACTGAAGCTTTAGAAACTTCCTTGTGGTGTCCTAACTTATTCCTTACTCGAAACATGGTGCCTAGTACTTACCTGATTTCTAAGAAAACCAGAGTATGTAAGGTGACAACACTTAATGTAAGGTGAACAGTGTGATGTGTTTTGTATATTAAATTCAAAGTAATTATTTTTGCTTAGTAGCAAAGTTTAGATTTGAGCATCTCCAAAAATTGAATTAGTTGGTGATTGCTGTTACACCAAGTAGATCACATTTAAGTACCGATACAGTGAATGTGCCGCTAATACTCTTTACTAGCTGTTGTTTAGCTCATAGCAAGTAACAGCAGCAGCAATTTCTAATTCCCAGACATCATAGAAAAACAAGTGCCTTAGATGGAATCACTGATTCTTTTCAACTTTCTAGTTTATTCATGGATCCCTGAGAAGATTTCAGGTCTTGATATTTTAAAAAGCTTTGTCACCTAATCTTATTTATTTCCCTTAAAATATTATCATCCAGACTTTGGTTCTGAATTAACAAGCCATGTGTACAGTCACCACTTCTTGGCCACGTGCCTGCATACTTACGTGTTTAACTGATTAAATTCTGTCAGTGTGGGCCCTGGGAGTCTCTTCTTTACTTTTGTTGGCTCTTTCACGTGCGGTAGGACATGTACAGGACATGGAACTTCAGTGGCTAATTTTACTTGCTCATTTGTTGGTGGATCTGTTCAAAAACTGGCCTGTCTCATTGGTCGGTAACTTATTCCCCAGCCACGGGCTTCACAGAATCATGCAGAACTTTGGGTCCCACTGTCTGAAGCCTGTGGCTGCTGTATTTTTGCTGTTGAATTTTCTTAAGAGACAGAGATGTGAGATCATCTTTGTCGTCACTGTTTTTGCAGTCCTCCCCATAAACAGTGTAAAGTAAGTGTAAATTTCTTTTTTAAAAAACACCTAGTAATTGGCGCTGAAAGATAATAAAGTAAAAATTTAATTTTATGATCAGGTTTTTCTCATGCGATAGTAATGCAAGGTTAGTTTTATTTTATAAATTAAGTTCTTTAGATAACATTTAAATAGCATCTGTGATGATTCATCTTTAAGGCTCTGGAGTCAAGACTATTGGTATTTACTTTTCCAGGTCACTCCAGGAGGAGTATCTGTGTTCGTTGATTTTTACTGTTTCCTTTTCCACTCTCCGTTGGTTTCCTCTCCCCACTACCGGAGAGAAAACGAGTGACCGAGTGGCGGTCCTTGCGTTTCAGGCCTGTGGTAAAGTTCTGTTTCCATCTCTTAGGCTCAGCCTCTGAGGAAAGAACCGGAAGTAATCACGGTGACCCTCAAAAAGCAGAACGGGATGGGCCTCAGCATTGTCGCAGCAAAGGTAGGACGGCACAGGTGGTGGCCGGGCTGCCAGCCTTCATTCTTGAGGCCTTGGACCAGCAGCTGTCGGGGCCGAGCTGCGCGTCCAGTTCTGCGTCTGGGAGGGGGCGAAGGCGTGGGAATGGAGCCCCGGGCTCGCTGCGTTCCCGGGGTGACTACTCCGCGGACGGGTCAGGGTGCGAGCTCCCCAAGCTGGGCAGGTGGTGCTCCCGGGGAGCCAGGGCGGGAGGGACCCGACACCCTGCTCCCGTGTCCGTGTGCAGCGGGCCCCCGGGTCCCTGGCCCCCCGCTGGCTGCAGCTCCTGGCAGCAGGGGTCCTAGAGGCCGCGAGCCGCGTGCACGCGCCACACGGGCACTGCAGCAAGGGAGCACCGCACGGCACGGCCCTGTCTGGGGAGAGCGGAGGGGAAAGAGGGCCTTCGCTCATTTTGAAGACTCTCCGTTGACAGGTGGGGTGTTCTGTTTCTCAGAGAAACGAAAGGGTTTGGAAGGAAGAAGGGACATGGTGCAACCGAGATTGTAGGGCCTTGGTGTGCAGGAGGCAGTACAGCGCCGGGACTAAAGCAGCCAGAGGGCCTTGGTGTGCAGGAGGCAGCACAGCGCCGGGACTGAAGCAGCCAGAGGAGCTGAGCCTCTGCATTAGCACGTGGAAGGCAGGTGTGGTCTGGGACACAGCATCACCTGGGCTCACCCAAGGAGGCCAAGGAGCCAGGCCAGAGCCTCGCAGGCCAGGACTCACGCTCACCCCTTCCAATGCGGTCCGGCTCGTGGGCCATGTTTCCCGCCTGTCGTGATCAGGTGGGCCCACAGCTCAGAACGCTGGGGGATGTGAGCGGGAAGGTACAGGCCGCAGACTGTTCTCCTCTTTGCTCAGCGAGTCAAATGCCCATTTTCAGGGCGGGAAAAAAGTTATTAGGATAAAAATTACCCCACCATACTCCAGTATACAGGAAAAATGTAACGCCCGCATTTTCTGATTTTTACATGTATATATGTATATAAAAATCTTATTTCAGATACGTGTCTTACTTGAGATTTGAAATTCTCCTGATCTCTTTCAGTACAAAGCTACCTGTCTTCTGTAGGTTTAAGTAGGATCTACTTAAGTGTCTCTGGGCCCTTCCCTCTGGCCCGAGTCCTGAGTGTAGCGAACAGTGAGGCACTGCGTGAGCGCCCCCCAAACCCCCTCTGGCCGGCCTCTGGCCTCGCCCGGCTGCCAGGTGTCCGTGGGCAGCTAGGACAAGGAGCCAGGCTGGCAGTCGCCGTCCAGCCTTGTCCCCGTGCCTGCGGTTGCCGGCGAGAGGCAGGAGCGAAGGGCGCTAGCCCCAGGGCTCCGCCGCGCCAGGTGCGTGGCCGGGGTCGGTGAAGAGCAGCCGCAGGAAGCCCTCTCCCTGCCAGCGCGGAGTCGGGGTCAGCGAAGGCCCCCGAGGAGATGCCTCGTGCGCTGGACCTCGGAGGGTGAGCCGTGAAACCTGGCGGAGGGGCGGGCACAGGCTTTGCGGCCCCGGGGCCAGCGCGCGGAGGCAAGGGGAGCCCTTGGAGGCGGCCCGAGAGCAGGCGAGGCCGGACGCCGGGCAGCAGGGTCTGCAGGCCCCCGTGGGGCCCAGGCGGGCAGACGCTCCGCTCCGCGGGCGTGTGGTCACAGCGGGAAAGCGGGCAGGGCAGTGGTCAGTGAGGCGTGTGGCCGGGTCCCCAGGACGCTGATTCCAAGAAGCCCGAGGGCTTGCTGCAGTTCAGGCTTTAGAGGGAGTAGCCACTGAAGGGCTCACGTAAGACGTGGTGGCGTCAGAGTGCAGTCCTGAGAGTTTATTCCTCCTGCCTTGGAGAGCGTGGTCCGGGGGGCTCAGAAGTGCAGCCAGGGGCTAGTGAGGGAGCTACGCCTGGTTTTGCAAGTGGGAGGAGTGTCCGCTCAGCGGGGGAAGGAGGTGGCGGCGGAGACGGAGGCCGGGCAGCCGCGGCAGCACGTTTACTTGTGGACCAGTGTGGCGTCGCTGGGACAGACACCCCTGCAGGCAGCCGGGCCCCAGCGCGTCCGCCGCTGCAGGGCTGCCAGCTTCCGGTGCGCCTGCCGGGCCCCGGCGTGTCCGCCGCTGCAGGGCTGCCAGCTTCCGGTGCATCTTGGGCGCTGATGTGTATTCGTTGAATGGCAGCTTTCACCTTGGCTGTTGAACGGGGTGTGTGTAGTGAGTGGAAGAGAGAAATATCAGTGTATCCCGGGTCTGTCTTCAGCAGCTGGGCGTGTGGGCGTGTTTACTGAAGGTGGAGCTCCTGAAAAGGAGCACGTTTTGGCAGGGAGAGAATCGAGAGCTCAGTTTTGAGCGTGTTAGACTTGAGAGCTGGGTGGATGCCTGTTGAGCTGGGCAAGCGAGCACGTTATCGCATGCATCGCCGGATACCCGAGTGTGGAACTCGGAGGGAGGGTCAGAGGCATAGGGTGCTCTAAGGGGGTAAGAGCAAGCTCTAGTAACCAGATGGCGTGCCGCTTTCAGGCATGAAAAAGTGTGTCAATGTCTGTTCTTACAATGAGACACGACTCCAGCAGTTCACCTGTGGACTCCATGGCTTTTTCTCCAGCAGAGCTGTAGTCTGTCTGGTGCTCACAAAGGAATGTTGAGCAGGAGTGAACAAGTCCTGTGATGGGCCCACGTTGCTGAAACACCGCTCTGTGCCTGATGCCCGGCTAGGGCAGTGTCAGCCCTCATGACAGCGCAGGTGGCCTCGGGAGAGTCCAAGGCCATGCGGCGAGCGCGGGCAGCCGGGGTGCTCGCAGAGCTCTGCGTCCTCCGTGGTGGGCGCCCGGAGCAGAGCGCTTCCCGCCACACGCTCAGCGTGCCCGCACCTCGAGTCTCGGGGAGAGGAGCCTGTGGGGCGTTTCCAGCTGGTCCCTGAGGATCACACAGTGCCGTCACCTGTCATCTTGTTCTTGTTAAGCACAGAAGAGCCCGCAGGCCGCCGTGTTGAATTTTACCCCTGTCACCCTTGCTTGCGTCTGTGTGATTTGGTCTTTTCCGTGAGCTCCTGCGGCCTTTGTGTTCGGCTCCGTTCTTCTTTACTTCTTCCTAATTAGCATGTGGCCTCGCGGCCGTGAGCCTGGGCAGGGTTCTGATGTCAGCCCGCCGACGCCCCTTCCAGGCTGCGGCTGTTTTATGGGATCCAGATGCCTTGGAACCGTCGTGCGCTGTCCACTCTGTGAAACCCTGCTTTGGGGACGTTTGGGGCGCTACTTCTCACTCAGCTGAGGGCCGGCACAGTGCTTCCTGTTTAATTTGGATTTTTTAAATAGCAACCGTTCCCTCCTTTTTATTTTTCTAGGTCTTTTTAAAGTTTAATAAAGTACAAAGTAAATGAAACTCTGAGCTTGCCCGGTTACGTAAGAGTCCGAGTGTTGCATCGGTCTGGCTGCAGTTGCTCAATGCCGTCCGGGTTGTGGCGTCCAGCTCAGCTTCGTGGTGGCGAGCCTTGAGAGGCCAGCTGTGTGCCGCTGTTGCCACCGGGGGAAGTAGACAGTTGTGTTTCAGCTGGAGAAGCTGGTGCGCCCGAGAGGCCAAAATGTGGCTCTCTGTTGTCGGAAGAGCAGAGTCTGTGGTGAGTCTCTTCGGGGCCGTGGTGGACGCGGATGTTCTCTTTAGAGGCTGCTTTCCCTCCAGGGTAACGTGCTTCAACCTGTCCGGGGTTCACTCGCCCGTGCAGCAGCCGTGTAAGGGAGCTCGTGATTACACACCCAGATGTTTACTGCTCTGTAGCTGAGCACTATGGATTCCTGAGGTTCGTGAAGCTCTAAGGCTTCTGTGTACTTTTTATACAAGAAAAACCATTAATCTACTCCTGCCGGTTGTAGTATAGTGAAAGTTGCTTGAAACAGTGGAAGCTGCTGCTGTAGAATTTGCCAAGGACATGCAGGAATCTCCACAATGCAACTTCTTCTGGGCCGCTTTAGGTGCTTTTTACTGCAGGCTTTCTCCAAAACCTGGTTTTTCTAAAAGTGAGCATAAAAGTGACAATTTGAAAGGTACTTAGGATATTTTACTATTTTATTTAAAAATGAATGGTTAATTGAATCTTAGTTTGTGCTTTGACTATATACGGTTTTTAAGGTTTTAAATCTTAGCTTAAAACACAAAATAAAATTCCTGTGCCTTAAAAAGGAGAGGCTAAAAGCAGTGTTTATTGATCATACTGCCTTTCACCACTTACAAAGCGAGTGTGAACTACAGTTTAGTCCTTTAAGGAATTTGAGACCTTCACCCTTGTGTTCCTTAGTGACCTTATTGGGACCAGGTGGGAAAGACCTAGTCAAAGAAATGGGTTGGGAAATTCTCAGTTCCCTTTTAAGAGCAATTCCAAAGTACCAGGTGACTGCAGTTTCTCCCGTGGACATGCCGGGAATAACTTTCCGTTAAGTCGTGCGAAACGACCGGGTGCCCTGCGTGGCTGTTGGCTTATGAATCTGGAAACAATGCTTTCTATTTCTGTCCTAATAGTAAATTATATAGAAGAACAATGTTTTATCTATACATTTACGGTAGTGGCCTACGTGCAAAGTTCTTGGGTCCACTGAAATAACTGAATTCAATTACAATATTAAAATAATGTAAAGCAGAGCCCTCTTTTCACGTGGTGGTTGGTACACGTAGAGAATGACGGTATTTGTAGGGTCCCCGGGTGGAGGGATTGGCTGTGGAGCAGCCCAGTCTGGCGAGGCCCAGACAGCCCCGGGGCACCTGCCTGAGCCGTGCAGGAACCGACGGGTCACCTTCCTTGTCTCACTCTTGAGCCACAGACGCTCTGAGGCTCCTGGGGAAGCTGCCCCTTCGCCCTGGAGAACCCTCCTCGCGCCCTGGAGAACGCTCCTTGCACCCTGGGTCGTGCGCCCACGCTTCCGGGCTCCAAGGCCTCCTGCAGCCCATCTGTAGGGCCCAGTTCAGAATCAGTGTGGTTTGCTTCCTTTACTTTACGGAGAGTGAAAAGATAGATGACACAGTGTTGTTTGTTTGTGCTTTA